GAACCAGGGGGTTCTGTTGGGGATATGTTAAACACAGCTTTTAGGTGCTTAAGTGTTGAGAAATTAGCTGCTAGGCAGCTGGATATATGTCTGGAGCCTAGATTAGTCTTTGGGTGTTGAGATTATGAAATGTTTTCCTCTTCTATTCCTCTGTTTACAAATATCTCCAATGAGTATGTTGTACTGTTATAATCAGAAATGTTTATATAGTTGAGGACTCTAGGAAGAATGGCATCAAGAGAGCAATCTTCTGAGGTTCCCTTGTCTTGCCCCCCAAAACTAAGGAAAACGAGGTAAAAATGGTGGGCAGGGGGCCTTTGGTATTGAAATCTGGGAATGGTGACATCCACAAATCCAAGTTCCCAATCACAAAGCACTGTAGCCCTTCAAGCTCCCAGATTTATGCAAGTTGTGTCTATTTTTGTTTTAAACAAAGAAACTGACCCTATTATGTATAATAACCATAATTCATTCTGTAAAGCTATTTTGATAGGTTGGACAGCCAAGGAGAATTCACTAATACTGTCATAACTTTACCTTAGAAATATAAATACTGTGCAAATATGTTTTGGTTTAGAAGGTTCTGTTCTTCCCTAAGACTGGACTGATAGTAAGCCTGCACAAACGATGACACCCGTTTCTGTGTGTTAGGAAAAAGCAACTGATGAGAGGGAAGCCCCCACTTCTCCTGTCGATCCAAGGGGGTGGGAGGGGCAGGTGGATCAGAGAAGAGCAGACTCTGCAGTAGAAACTTAGGCGAGTTGTGTGTGTGGTGTGTGTGTGTTGAGGAGCACAACTCAGATGGACAACAGATCAGAACACCCCACCCACTGTAGGAAGAGGGAGCCTTGGTGATGAGGTGGGACAGACAACAGCTGGCATGTCCTTCCTGTTGATGACGTTCTGAGAACAGACTGAGTCTTTGACAGCCAATCTGGTATCAGTGGCATCCATCCCAGAGAGAATAACCATCCCAGAGAGACTGGACGGTAGAGAAAATCGATGCCACTTCCTTTCTGGTCCACTGAATGCAATGCATAGGCCTATTTTGCTCTTTGTGAATATCTATGAGTAGGCAACTTTTTTCTGTAAAACCCCAGCATGAATACAGTGGTAACAATATGGAAGTGCATGTGCGTACCTGTGTTCCAATAGAACTTGTGGGCAGTAGTCTGTCATCCTCAAAACTAAATCAACAGCCCCACGTGGGTAAGTTAGGAAGGTATTAAAATAAGCTGTTTCCCTAACTTGTAACACCTCCAACTAATTCATGGGCTATCTAGACCTGTTCCATGAAGAAAGATGCTTATAAATTCTAATGCAATCTTATTATGCAACTATATGGATGAATATGAGAAAGGACCATGAAGACATACTCATTTAATTAACTCCCTAAAATCGATCTAACATGCTTAAATATAAAGTTTTTCATGTTTTTCCTATCAAGCATACATTTTTCTGCCATCTGTTTGGGGCCTGCTATATACTGCTCAAAGACAGTATTTTGTGAAACTCACAAGTTGTTTCATATTGGCTTTTAAGATGCAGACCTGATGAAAAAACAGTAAATGGTCAAATCGTTATGGTATTTTATTTATGACCATAGATGACACCAAATTGTCACTTCTAACTATACTTATCACAGGAAAAGCCTTAATAGAAAATTGCTTTTCATATAGTTGAGTGAATTGGTATTTAAAAAAACAAACAAACAAAAAAAAACACCTGTATCAAAGAGCATATTTTTGAGTTCAAAAACTGGAAACACTCAGAAAACAAAAATGGACCGCTATGGTCATGTAGAACAATGTGCCCAATTTCTGGCACTGTGTGCTGTTAATACTGTGAGAGATGGTTTCTACCCTTACCTAAGTAGAGCAGTGCAATTACTGCTGAAGAAATATTGGTGTGACCTGGACTGATGCATGAAGGCAGTTCAGCCAGGCCGACAGCCATGGGGCCACTGCAGACATGGGGCCTTTGCCAGGGTGTCTGTCAATCTGGCTAGACTTGAACACAAGGGGAGTGGAACGGCAGAGCCGGGTAGGCCCCGTGATCTGCACAGGAAACACTGCCTACCTGGAGCAGAGCAGACAGAGGAAGGCCCCACACTCAATGTACACGGGAATGCTGGCAGGTCTAGATCAGAGAAGAACTTGCAAAGGATCAAAACTAAAGCCTCAAAATACTTTTCCTACGCAAATTTCACCACCTCAACTTATTCTGAATGAAAAGATTATAGCAAATTTCCTGTCCAGATGTATCACTTACATGGCTTGGACTTAAAATTTTAATGCTTTCTAAGAAATAAAATCCCACAATTTTATGCCCAAACTTACGGCTGCATTTCTTCTTAACAGTATTTACAAGAAACTGCACCACACACACACACAGACACATGCACCTTTAGAGCTACCTGGAAAGGCCATCCTGGTTGGCTCTTCAGCTGGACTTTGAAGAACAGGTAAAAACTCTGATTCTCAAATTGTAACAGAGGAAAAAGTATTTCAAGTTGAAGGAATACTGTCCAAAAACACCAGTAAGTGGATTGTGTTGGAACATCATGTGTGAGATATGAGGCTAGAAAGATCCAAGGAAGAATTATGAGTAAAACGGAAACAAAAAAGAAAAACAACATTGTTTTCTACTTGCCTACCATAAATTCTTAATAACTATACTAAAGAAATTACTTTAAAAAAATCTTACTCTGTCAAAGCTGAGTTTACATTCATTTATTGGTTTACTTTTATCAAAAATAAAAAAAATCGATGCTTGTAACAAGAAATTATTATTTTCTTACTACCTCATAATGAGTCAGACATGGCTTTAATTCATTCTGTGCTAGAAACCTCATCCAACATATCCACTGGGAAAGGACATCACAAACTTCACACTTCAAATTGACCTGTGTCCCACTAAAAGCTGCTTGGCTCTGGTAATTCTCCCAACAGCTCTAGTAGCCAAGCCAGAAAGCCAGAAGCTGCAGTATCTTCCTCTCCTCCCATCGGGTCATGTCAATGCTCTCTCTTAGAAGGCAGAAATCCCACGTTTTTCTCTCCATACTAACTGCCACAACTCAGTCCCTCTACCTCTTAAGCTTCTACAATTCTCTAATCAGTCTCTCTGTTTTGTCTTTACAGTCCACCCTCTGAGCTTCCATCAGCATGTTACAAGACAAAAATCCAAACTCTTATCACAGTCTTGAAATCCTACAGCAGGCTACAAGCTAAATGTCTTTACCTTCACCACTAGGCTCCTCCTGCCTATCTGTCCAGCCCTCACATTATATATACTCTCCTTGCCCTAGCCCCAGACTCCTGTGGTTTTCACCTGTTCCTTCCAGACCCCACCAACACCTCTGCAGAGGCTATGCCATTTGGTTGCAATATCCTGCTGTTCTCGGCTGGAGATTCTCAACTTAAGGCTTGATTCGGATGCCACTAGTTCTAGGAAATTTGACAACCTCCTCCTATGAAGTTATTTCTCTCCTTTGGCTACTGCAGCACTTGGGGCAGCACTTACCACTGTACCACATATATTTCACTTTGGTTTCCAGAGTTAAGACTGAGAACTTCCCAAATCTAAACCTACCAAAATATTTGCAGACTATTATACCTACATTAATATCAAGGACTGGTTAACCATTATCCATTATTAACAATAACTAACTCTGAAAACCAAACCCCCAAACCCAACAAAAGTTAAGTCATACCAAGTGCTAACTGATCTCAAGGAAGCTTAATTATCAGGATAATCTGTCTAGTCACATACCAGTTAGGATTAACATTTATCCACACCGTGTTATAGTATGCAAATCAGCTACTGTTTGGATTGCAGCTTACTCTAAAAAGGCATTTCAAAGATTTCCAAATGCCAATCTTAAGGGAAACTTCCAGTAAAATGTGTGCTGGACTCATTTTACTGTATGTGTATTTTTAAAATAAATGTGCAAAGACCACTACTAACTTTCAACAGACAGCCTGTTAACAGTTACATCCTCAGCTAACACACAGTCCATGAGCTCTTGAAGGGCAGGGATGCCACCACCTTTCTATTCCTAGTACATTCTAGGTACTAAAGAAAAGTTTACTGAAATGATAATTAATTCATCCATTTAAATTGAGTGAGTCAAACGTAGAAGTAAAATGCACGAATTGCCAAGTGACAGAGGCAGAAAGCAAGGTGAAGTTAATTAAGGTTCTTAGATCTTATATTTATTGTTTGCCACCAATTCATTTCACTGAGAAGCTGTTATATGGCCAGTGCTCACTTTACTTAGGTACTATATGAAAGAGATCAAAACTTGAAATGACTTCACAAAGATTACCAATGTAAAAGATGTACCTTGCATGGGTATGAAAGGTAAAAAATGTGTTTTATCCTTGTGGGTGTGGTTACAGCTATTAAATGAAGTCTGTGTCCTGAGGGGGTAGGTTTTTTAGGTTGCCTGGTTTCAGGCTGTTCCATTTCTGGGTCATGAAATGCCCAGCAAAAATCTGAGAGAACATGCTAAGCCTTGTTCCTCTGCTGCCAGTATGAATCATTTGAGGATTATCTACCTAGTTGGTGAATTAAAGCTCCTTTTCTTCCCTGATATTTAATCACTTTGAAGTCAAAAAACTTCATGAGGTAGTCTAACAGGGAAAAATCACATAAGTTAGTATTGTTAGGGACTCTAGCAAGCCCCAGGGCCAGGAAATGGGGAAAAATTTTAAATTTAGATACCAGTGCATTTGATTTATCCATGCTAATTCTGATAATATGCTATGTAAACTACACACACAGACCCTAATTTGTCATTTTACTATGGGAAATCTGTTATACAGATGTAGTATATCTGAACCGTACATTTCACTTCTTTTTAAATCACAGATTCAATGTACTGTGAGTACTGCCTAATTTCTGTATCTTCAACATCCATATGATTTTAATGTGAACAGTCCCAACTGGAAGAACATTAACTTATGAAAATAAATCATTCTGGGGGAAGGTTTAAAATCTGAACAATACGATAGGCACATTTATTTCATATGAGTCATACTCTGAACCTAAAATGCAAAGCAAAAGATTGACGTGCACTTCATATTTCAAGTCCTTGTAACAGAGAAGAAAACTCATTACAAAACTTAGATATGATACATCACCATCATTAAAGATAAAGTTGATTAGACAATGGTTTCCATGTACATTTGACTATCTAGCCTTAAAGAGTAAAGCAGAATAAACTGCAGATATCTCAGGTCCTTATATTAAACTGTTTCAGTAACAAGACTCAAAGAATAGGTATCTTTCCTATCGTTAACAACAGTACTTCAGTGCTAACAGTGCAGTTTAATATTGGTGGTAAAAACTAGAGAGCGATTTATCCTGACAGTTTAAAAAATTAATTATAAAATGCAAAATTCAGTAACTTCAGGAAGAATTAAACATGTAAGAATTTGAGACCCGTTTCTGTTTCAGAGAGAAATATTCAACAGGAAAATGTATTTCTAATTTTGAATTTCTGGCCCAAATTTGCCACACACTCAAAACAAATTACCTATACCTCATCCAGCTATTACAAAAACTGATGGCATTCCAAGAGCAAATCTATCTATTTCTCTAGCACGCCCAGTGAAGCAGAACAAGGCAGAGGACAATGGTGGAAGCAGGAGAGGGGCAGGCTCCAGGCTGTGCTGCAACCTAAGCCCAAAAGCTGCAGATACACAAAGAGTAAAGGTCAGCACAGAATCTTCCACTTAAACTCTGCTTCATAAACCATCTGTTTAGGTTTGGGGCTTTTTTATTCTTTAAGTTTACCACTCTATACTTCATAAGAAAGATTTTTTTAAGTACACATAAAAAGATATTAAAAAGTAATAAAATTCAGATATTCAGGTGAGGTACTTAGATTTATATTTAGGAGATGACTTTGTCAAGGTGCTGCTTGACAAAGTATGTATTGATATTTAACTCTAAAAGAAGGCATAACACATTAACATCACCTGCTATAAATATCAGCCCAACCAGTCTTAAATTTTTTTGACTCCATGACTACGTGTTAATTACAGACATGGCTACCCTACCTAGAATGCCACTCCACAGCCCTGTATTAACTGTGCTAGACCAAAGACTCATACCAAAAACCAAAAGAAGAAAAAGAAAAGGCAACCATTTACACTTACTAAGAAAAGCAAACATTTACTTCAAATTGCAGTATAAGCTTTTCAATCACAAAAAGAAAGAAAAGAACAGTGATCTGACAGTGGTCACATCCTGTGCAAAAAAACTTGAGATAACAAAAATGGTAATACAAGGTAGCTGAGCTGCTTACACTGCAGGAAAAGGAAATACAGTAGCTGAAATATGGCACTCCTGTGAATCAACTTCTAAACCAAACAGAATGCCTTTGAAATGATTAAATTTATTTGTGTATTAGTAAGAAAGCCCCACCACCATAAATAGTACAATATTTAAAAATTAAAAAAAAGTCATATTTATCTAGGATAGATTGTGTATTTGAACTGTTAGACCTCTTTAAGTGCAGAAGGTGGTTCAGGTTTTGCCTGTTTTTTAAATTAAATAACTGCCCATACACTTTACGAAGTTCCACTCAATCGCAAAAGCCAATTTAAATCAAGGAATATGTTATCAAAGTTGCATAATTGCATTTGGGACTGTCAGCAGGTTAAAGTCTCAAATCAAGTCTTCAACACTCATTTTTAGTCAATAAAAAGTTCAAAAGTTCTCAAATCTTCATTATCCTCTTGAACTTGCCCTTCTAAATGATCCTCAGACTGCAATTCCTAGTTTGCAAATAAAAGAATGCAATATGCATCATACTTCAAGAAAAGACGACGATGTCGAGCTAACAGGCTTCTGGATCTTCTCCCTGCTCCTTTCAACCTTCTTGATAATTTCTGACACTATGCACACTGACGAGGTGAGACCCAGAAGAAAGAGCAAATCTGCAAGAGAAAGTAAGTTGGGTTTTACAATTCTTTAAACTTACAGTTGCAGAGCTTAATAACTTATGTTTTTCTAGCATTTTACCACAGCCTTTAAAATACATTATTTCTCAACCATTCCACAAAGTAGCCACATCGGCCTCAGTTTAAAAATAAGGGAAGTAAGGCTCAAAGGTACTAAATGACTTATCTAAGTCACACAGCTAGGACAGGCAGCAGCCAGAGAAGTAGAACTCAAGTCCTCTGACTGCTTCCCCTGAGCCATAACCGAGAACCACAACCTTTAACAACAGCAACACTAGAGGAGTTTTCTATTTAATAGATCACACAGCCTTTTTTAAAGGCTCTTCAAGCAGTGGTGACTAATTTGATTTTTTAAATGTCTATCTGAAGATTACTTAGAAATCTGCATCTTATTCCACTTGAAGTCACTGTTTAAAGACCATATCTTTACAATGGTATCCACACTATCTCGTTCTTATTTACTGCTTCAAACAACTGTACCAGTCTCCTTAAAACTCCATTTTTTTTTAAAGAGGAAGGAATATGAATATGAAATTAAAATCTTGAAATTAAACTAGTTCAACTCTAAGGTAAACTTTAACTTACAGCAAAAACTACAGTGATTCATAAATATCCAAATTACCTTTAAAAACCCAAGAATTAGAACTAGCATTATCATAAAATGCATCCGTTCTCACACTTACATAGGAAGATTAACTTTTAAATGTACTGTATGGTGATGCATTTAATGCACAGTCTGTGAAATAATAATGACTGTCTTCATATCAGCTTAATAAAACTCTCTGCTATTAGTGCTGTTATTTCATAAAATAAGAATGTGCAAATTAGCAAGTAAGAATAGGAAAATATTAGTTTAACAATCAAAATGGTAATTTTAAAGAAGAGCCATTTGGTTTTCAGTGAGCTTAAGTCTAATTTCTTCTTCATACAAGATTAAAAAGTTATAAACTACAATTACTCTGTAACACGTTTTGATTTGCTATCTTTCAGAATCACCAAATATGATTTTGACAAGTGACAACCTATAAAAAATTAACAAGAAAAAAATTACAAAAGAAGTTTAAAACCTAGAGTTGGGAGAGTGACTCCCCTAAACATTTCCAAATGAGAAAACAGAGCACATACATTTTTCACAGCAAGCCACTTATTTCACTTTTTAGAAGAAAATTTTTCTTAGAACAAATGCATTAGCAAATACAGCTCATTTATAATATATAAATTATAAAGATAACATTTCCTTTACCCAGTATACTTAGGCTCTCGGTCTGAAAAACTTTCTGAAGTGGAGGAAAGTAAATAACTAGTAACTGTCCCATGATGGATCCAAGAACTGCGTAGCAAAACATTTTATTACTGCAAAGTCCAATCTCAAACACAGATTTGGTCTGTTGGCAGAGCAGAGAGTTCAGTTATTACTCCTTGGTCACAGAAACAACGTCTTTATTATTACACTCACCTCCAATTTTTAGTAACCTGGACTGAATTCTACAGTAGTAGTACCATGAAATCTCTAAATTTTAACTCTTATTTTGGAATAATATAAATGGAATAGGGTAAATTTTAAAGCAGCTTCTCTTCATCAAGGGCTTTAAGAGTGATGCTATTAAAAACATAAAGACCACAGAAACTTCTTTTAGTCCTCCAAAGCATAAGAAACTTTATTTGTATATGATAATTTTGCTAAATCATTTCTATCACTCATTAAGGTACATAATCTAAAAACCTTTCTCGAAGAATGGACTTAGTTACATGTGTAGTGAAAAAGTAAAAATGCCTTTCATAAAACAAAAACCAAATACTAAAGCTTCTTCAAAAATTAGTCTAAATTAATGGCAATTCACTGTACTTGGAAAGTTCTAGCATGGTGAATGGTAATAGATATAGTTAAGGATTTATATGGTGCTCTTAAATTGAAATGAACAGTCAGGCCTCAAATGTAGCTAGTTTCTAAGAACAACATGCTCTGAAAAAGTACCATTAGGTTCTAGCCCATTATTTTCTAACAAAGCACTTCAATCAAGAGAAGGCAAATCCAGGGCTTCCCTGGTGGCACAGTGGTTAAGAATCCCCCTGCCAACACAGGGGTCACGGGTTCAAGCCCTGGTCTAGGAGGTTCCCACATGCCGCGGAGCAACTAGGCCCGTGTGCCACAACTACTGAGCCTGCGCTCTAGAGCCCACAAGCCACAACTACTGAGCCTGCATGCCTAGAGCCTGTGTTCCGCAACGGGAGAAGCCACCACGGTGAGGAGCCTGCGCACCACAACGGAGAGTAGCCCTCACTTGCTGCAACTAGGGAAAGCCCACGCGCAGCAACGGGGACCCAACTCAGCCAAGTATAAATAAATAAATAAATTTTCAAAAAAAGAGAGAAGGCAATCCACCTTAAGATAAAGCATGGGAAGAAAAGAAAATTTTAAATGTCCTAAGCTTTGACACACTGATAGAAATAATGAGAAAAAGTTAATATGCACAAAGCTGTTCCTGGATTTCTAACAACACTTGCTTCTATAATGAGGCTAATACCATCTTAGCACAAGCCATGAGCTTTGTCCTATCCTCAGATAATGTTAACTTGAACCTATCATATAGCTACAGATAATAAGAAAATGAAAAGAAGAAAAATCAGGTGATGACACCTGTGATTTACTTTGATCTCCTAGCCAAAGTTAAGGCTTATCTCCCCAAATGCCCCATCCCTCTTAGGACACATTCTGGAGGCCCATGTTTGTAGGAAGGCTATATCCGGAGCTATAACCATGGCTACAAAAGCAAGCAAAGCTAAAAACCCTGCCCACTTACAATTAGAGAGTACCCTAACCCAATTGAATTAGTCAGCTAAGATCACCTAAGCATACCTGGGATCTGGAACTTAGTGCATTGAACATGTCAAAAAACACAAAGCATGTGAAGGTCATTGTTGTATCCCGAGGTGTTATCACATTGTCTCGCAGCTGTCGAGAGGAAAAAAGATTTTTAGCTGGCTGAATTTAATGAACAAATACTACATGCTTTTAAAGGGTTAATATTTTCTTCCTCTCAGAATGAAATAGCTTTAGTTTAAGATATAAAACATATAAGCAACCTAAATTTCCCATACGCCATTTAAATAAGTCACCTAATGAATAGCTGTAGTCTACATAAAGTAAAAAGTCTTTTCCCAAACCATAAACTGGATACTAAAAGAACTTTTTTGATGACATGAAAGTAGCTATATTAAAGACTCAGATTTTCTACCTTCTTCCCAAGTTTTCATGTTAATTTTTATTGTATCTGATACTTCTCTGCAGATTTAAATAACTCTAATATGTAAATCAGGAATTCTATTAACCCATAAATACTGAAATCAAACTATGTTTAAATATTTTTATTCTATTTTTGAAAGAGCTCTCGTAACTTCCAGCCTTCTGCTTAATACACAAAAATAACCGAATCCTACTTTGCAGAATGAATATTAATAAAGCAGCTTATCCAGTGAGTATACCTCCCGCCAGAAGACAAACAAAGTCCCACAAACAATGATTATTGAGGAAACAAGTATTTTAAGTATCAGGTTTTTGGTCAAAATGCTGTCCTTCCAGTTGCGTGGAGGTTTACGAATGACATCTTTATCCACTGGTTCTACTCCAAGGCTTCAAAACAAACAGAAAAGTGAATTAAAGTTTTAAGTAAGATTTGGATTTATTACTTTCACAACTTCATTGACCTCAATTATCCTGGAAACTAAATGTCTTCTTTTGGAAACAAAATGTTGAATCATGAAGAAAACCTTGGCTATGATCACTTGAAAATAACCAAAGATTTTATCACTCTTTCCTTTTTCGTTTATTTGGCACAGTTTGGGAGGGGACTGATAATCAAATTCAAAAAACTGCCCACATTTTATGTACATATAGCTTTACTTATTCCAAATATGGCCTGAAATATATGACCTACCAACTGGACTTTGAACCATCTTTCATGCAAGGAAGTTTCAACTAGGATAATTTGTTGTAACGGTCACTGACATGTATCACTCTGTGTTAGGAAAGCAACATCTAGGGCCCCATTATTATAAAAGAAGATACTTAGATGCTTAGGTCCTTCAATACTTTCCCAAAGTCTCTAAGACTGGCAACAGAACTTTGGTAATAGCACTAAAGCCAGAGATTTCTCCATTACAACCTATTCTAAGAAACAAAAAGCTTACTTCGAGGACAGGGACTGCAACTGTTCCCTCCTGGGTTCTCAACTTAAGGCTGGGCATCTAACAGCCTAAAAGCTCAGATCATAATGCATGAATGAGCACTCCAAGAGAATAAATGATATGCTCACATCACACAATTTATAACAAACACGATGCTGCAGAGATTTCCAACGCTATCCGTGATGAAGTCTTAGAGCTTAATTATCAGGATAGCATGCCATCTTTGTCTTTCAAATTTACATGAGAAAACTCTCACCTCTGAGCTGGAGGTCCGTCCATAATAATATTGATCCACAAAATCTGCATGGCATTGAGAGGATTGGGAAAGTTCATTAATGTAGCCAGTGAGATTAAAGTTAATGCTGCTATACTCCTATCGAAAGAAAGAGTCATTTTAAAAAATGTGTCAGCATAGTATAATTCTTGCTAATTTTATGAAATCACTTTCTTAGCATTTAAAACTCTCATGTTACTACTGTTCTTTTAAAGGAAGCCCATATTTCCAAGTAACCTACTGCTTCATTAGTGTGAACATTTTGAAGCTAAGAGTTAACCCTTATGATCCACAGCATTTTGATAAAGGACCTTCAAATAGAGGAAGATTTTTTTAAATTGAGTTCAGATAACAGTTTCAATGATATTTTCATAATTGTTTTTGGACTACAGAAAAGCCCTTCTACTTTTGGAAAAATATACCAAGAAGAAACATTAAAATTTGACGCCCTTTTCTTAGTTATTTCAGGAGCTATTAAATAACCCACAAAGGTTTATATATTTTGATGATGATACAGACAAATAATTATCACACTTAGAACCTCTTTATCATGCCATTTTTAGATTTAGGACAGGATTCAATTTTCACACTGGTAAACTTTTACATATGGACAACCCTCAGAAATAGAGCCCAGAAGCTTGTAGGCATTCTGCTTGAATTCTACTTTGCAAATAATTTATCTGTAAGACCCATAAGTTTGTCACAACTTCTTACAAACTTACGTGCTCAGCTGGAATCTAACAAAATTTTTAATGTTATTATAAATTCCTTTACCCTCCTCAATTGCAGACCTGAAAGTTAAAAATAAAATCAGGTGAGAAAATATTATCACAGAAAAATAAGGATATATCAATACTGTGGAACTAATTTTGAAAACAAATTTCCAACTGATAAAACACACACATCAATAAGAAAATCTATTATTTTCTTCACATAATTAAAACTAGAAAAAAAAAAGGAAACACTACTGTGGCAAGGAATTGAAGTCTGGCCTGCTACACTCTACCCGAACTAATTTCACAACACAGTAATTTTTATTCTTAAAAAGACATTTCAACATTAAAATCACATCTTGTGTTTCTACACAAGAGACAATAATACACATTTATAATACTAAAATAATGATCTTCTTTACCCCTCCAAGTTTATTTTACTTCAAGATACAAGAGGCATGCATGGTAAGGGGTTAATTTAATGTAGGTCAGAAATTAAATGGCAATGAGACATATAAAACTTATAGAACTTAAGCCATCTGTTGCTCCTACACACAATTAGGTATATGTTGTACCAGAATTATAAAAAGAATATGGTTTACAAAGATCCATGTAAATTCTCTCATTCATTTTGCTCAACCTAGGAAAATATGTGTTTTATAAACATATTGCCCTATCTTCCAAGATTTTTATACAATTCTAAGAATGGAAATTAAATATCTTATATCTTTTTAAGAGCCTAGCAATTCTGGGTCCTGAGGGCCCACATGCTCCACTTGAGGCCACAATGGGTTAATGAGGCACACAGGGCATCACTGAACTAAGACTTAGATCATTCAAGAGATGATTATCAAGTGACCTCCACCTGAACACTGTGAAACAACCAGCAGGTATTGCAGAATCTTAAAGCAATTAGAAACTGTGGATGGAACAAATCTATTCAAATGATAAACTGCATCATTAGTAACATGAACAATTCCTGACAGAAGGAAACAGATATGGATGGGATCTTTATTTATAATACTTACTGTAAGGCCAGGCACATGCTTATTCCTGTGAGCCTGAATTTAACTAGAATAAAGGCCACATGAAGGTTCACTGCTGTATCACAACACTAGTGGCCAGGAAATGTGACACTTGGCTGGTACTCAGTAATATTTCTTAAATGAATAGCCCTGCCATTTATTATGTCCATTCCATACAAATAATTTTCCCCCAAACTACACACTAGTACACAAAATAAGATTAATTAATCTAGTAAAAAAGTTTAGTTTATCCAATGTCTAAAACTGCTAAAGTATTTTCTATGAATGGGGTGCAAGAAAGGATGGGAGGAGACTCTCTGATGTGCATTCATTGAAGGAAAACTTACATGATGGTTTGGAAATCATCATCCACCAGGATCATGTCTGCTGCCTCTTTGCAAACATCTGTGCCAGTCTGACCCATTGCAACTCCAATGTCTGCAGCCTTCAGAGCGACTGCATCATTTACTCCATCTCCTGTCATGGCCACAACCGACCCGTTCTTCTGCAGAGACTGGGGGCGAGAGGGGAGAAGTGCGAGGGAGGAGTTCTGATTAAAGTGTTGCTTCCACACAGATAAGGGGATAAACAAATCCTCTCTCTTTTTCTTTCCCACATAATTAAAGACTGGAAATAAAACAATCACTTTTTCAATAAAACTTCAATAAATATATGGAGGTCTTAAGATAAAGCTTAGAAAAAGCTGCCATTAATATTTCCATGTGTGAAAATTCTATGGATTCTATGTGTAGAGCCTGATGAAGAGTCAATTACACAGTTGTTCACAGGGCAACTTTGTCTCCCAGGGGACATCTGGCAATGTCTGGAGACATTTCTGATTGTCATGACTTCAGGGACGCTACTGGCATCTAAAGGATAGGAGCCGGGGATGCTGCTAAACTTACAACACACAGGACAGCCCCTCACAATGAAGAATTATCCAGCCCACAGTGTCAAAGTGCCAAGGCCGAGAAACCGTGACCTCAGTACAATGGAGCACTACTGTGATTAATAAGTCCATGAACTGATGGTACCATGTCAGCTGCTTTGTATATATTTGACTAATATAAACAATCATAGCCCTTTAAACATTGTTCACACTCTCAAAACATTTTTTTCTTGCTGCGTTTATTCAGTTTCTAAGTAATTATTCCTATTCATACTGGGATGATTTGGCTATAGCCTCCTGTCAGAACATATTTTCTACATTATTCAAATGTTTAAAGAAGGTTGTATTTGCAGATATTTCCTTAAAGTTTTCTTCTACATCTTCCTTTGCAAACTAAATTCTCTATTAATGTTTCCATCTCAGGCTTTAAAAAACCACCTGTTTTGCTTCACAATACTTCTGACTTTAATGCTCTATCAATATTCCCAGTAGTAAAGCAAACATAATGAAAGACAAGCAGTAGCATTTTGGATACAGAGATAAAACAGTGTGATTCTTAGACACCCACCTTAATAATTTTCATCTTGTGCCTTGGACTAGCTCTGTAAAATACCGCAACCTGTTAAAACACGGGATACACTAAAAATCTTCAACATTAAGAAATATCAGAATAACCTATGTACTTATAACTAAGAATATTTTTTAAATTATCAATTTAAACTGTCTGTATTTTGCCACAGAGATCAAACTTAAGAATATGCCATACATTTGTTAGGACACTCATTTGACAGGGTCATTTCAAATTTTTAGGTACTATAAGAAATGCACAATCTAAACAATTTACCCAGTTTATCCCATTATGTTTAAGCTCTGAAGAGAAAACAGCCTTATTCTTGAAACGTTCAGAGACAGACAAAGGAAAAACTCCTGCATCGGCTTCCTCGACACTTCCACAACTAAAATGGCCTTTTCCCTTTGTCTTGTCTTCAGGAGATTTAAAGAACAGCTGCTTCTCAACATCCCTCGAGCCTTTTTTTGTTGTTAAGCACTATGAAGTGTCTACTCATGCTCTTCTACTCAGCTTAATTCATTAGGCGCTCTCTCTTCCACTGTGTCTCCACCTGCTTATACCATCTTCTCTCTCCAAAGAATATATTTAATCCCTTTTCCTGATCCCATTTTCTGGTCTCCTGAAACCCTCCCAGTGCCCCAGTCATCGACAAATCCCCTGGCCCTCCAGTCTTACCCACACTGCTGTTCCCACAGTCCTCTCCAATAGCACCACCAGGAGAGCACAGAGGGGGCAGGTGCCCTCCATTCCTTTCTTCAGTCACAGATCCTTGGTTCTGAACGTCACAGAAGACTGTACTTCACTACCTGTGGCCAGTCACTGCTCCCGAGGCCACCCTCCATGTTCCACAGGAATTTGTAACCACTGCCTTCCATCAGTCTTTCCAACACCCCCGAGCCAGGTGACCTTAATACCCACGTAACCCACCGTTCTCTTTCCTACTCTCCTAGAGGATAGGTCCACACTAGTTTTCTCTCCTCATGCTTCCAATTTATCCCCTTCCCCAGCCTCACTCTCAGCTGACAACCTTGTTTCCTACTTCAAAGAAAACAGTCAGGAGAAAACTTCCACAACTCCCACCATCCAATAGCTGTATCCAGACAGTATCCCTCCTTCTCTCCTTTTACTAAAAATGAACATGAATATGTTTCTAGTGCAGGTCAAATATCCCACCTTCTTACCAATCAGAAATTCTCCCTCCCTTGTATCAAAAATTTTCCCTTGCTGCTGCACCTTTACCATCATTGTACAAACATGTTATTCCTTCCATTTAAAGAAAAACAAAACCAAAAACTTCCCTTCCTATCTCAGCTGCTACCCTCCTTTCCCCTTCTCTTTATAAGCGAAACTCCTCTAGGGAGCTGCCTGTACTGCTGTCTCCCATTTCTCTCTTCCACTCTCTCCTGAATCCCTCCTGATTAGGCTGCTAACCCCACCCCTGCCCTGAAACCTCTCATCAAGAGCACCAAAGACTCTGCATTGCTGACACCAGTGCCACTTCTCCCGTGACTTAACCCCACACACAGCCAACCGCTCCCTCCTCCTGAGGCACCCTCTTCTCCTGGCCTCAGGACCACCCTACACTCTCCTGCTCCCCCTCCTGCCTCTCCAGCTGCTCCTCTTGTACAGGGTCCCCCAGGCCTCCCTGAAGTCTACACTCTGGAGTGTTCTAGAACTCAGTTCTTGGGCTCTTTATAATATAAGAGGTCTCTCCCTAGGGGATCTCACCCCACCTTAGAAATCTGGCTTTTATTTATATGCCTTTTTGTCTCTTCTGAAATCCAGACTGATAAAACTAATCCACCTACCTACTCCATATTTGCTCTTGGACATCCCATCTCAGACTTAAACATGCCACACAGAACCCCTGTTACTTCCCCAAACACATGCTCCCTCACATCCTCTGCCAATGGCAAGTGCACTCTTGCAATGGCTCAGGCTCTAAATCTGGGGAGTCACCCTCATTCCTCCTCTTCTCCCACATGCCACACACAGTTTGGTCCCATCCTCAAATATATCCACACTTAACCTCCTTACTCAAACATCGAAACCCACTGCCAACACACTGGGTTAAAAACGCAAGTCAAACCACACTGTCCTCTGCTGAAAACCCTCCAGAAACCTCCCATCCCTCTCAGGACAAGCAAATGGTGCCCAAGTCTTTTACTGTCCACCAAGCCCCACATGAAGTGCATGCTCCCCGGTTAGTCTTCTCCCCCAACCCTGCACTACACTGGCCGCCTCATAGTTCCTGAAACATGCCAAGAGCACTTCCCTTGAGGCCTCTGCCCTTGTGTTCCCTCGGATATTACACAGCCTGCCCCTTTCATCACACAGGACCTTCTCAACGATGCCTTTCCTAGGCATGCTGTCTAAAGATCTCATCCTCTCTCTTCCCTGCTTTTGTCAGTGCTCTCCCCTCCTGCTCCCATACTACAGTGATTGTATTGTGTGCTTATCTTAAACCAGTATATTCCCCCCTTTTTAGCTGGAGAAAGACATAAAGATGAAAAGATTATTAACAGAGGAATTTTCAGTTACCCCCAAGTTTAGTCCCAGCTCTGTGATAAAATGATACAGTTCAATTTTTAGACACTTCTGTGTTTTTTTTTAATACCTAATTTCTTCAAGACATAATTTTGTGTCACTAAATTTCAATATTTTTACTCAACCAAAAAGAATGACCTGCTAATCCTGGTGCTTTAAGGAGAATTTTTACTCTGCGCAGTGCTATACTCCACATGAGTTTTATCTTAGACTATAAGCTCCATGAGGCAGAGATTTTGGCCCAGTACCTCCAGTGTTCTATAAACACATGTAAGATGAATGAATAAATGACTGAATCTTAGGACCATCATAAAGACTATTCCCAGGTTCTCTCCCAATTTTAATAAAGGTCTAAAACAAAAGAGGATTATTTTCTTAGGCAAAAAAATTCAGTTTAACTGTACTATCACATTACTGATTACCCTTAGTTCCTCTAGGTACCATGAATCACATAACTCATATGTGGAAAGCATTCTTCCTTTAAAAAGGTTCAAAATCCATTTGGAAACTCTTTACCATGTCTTTAAAAAGTACTAAACATCCAGATGGTCAAAAGGCACATGAAAAGATGCTCAACATTGCTAATTATCAGAGAAATGCAAATCAAAACTACAATGAGGCATCACCTCACACCAGTCAGGATGGCCATCATTAGGAAGTCTACAAATAATAAACGCCAGAGAGGGTGTGGAGAGAAAGGAACCCTCCTACACTGTTGGGGGGAATGTAAATTGGTGTAGCCACTATGGAAAACAGTATGGAGATTCCTTAAAAAACTAAAAACAGAGCTACCATATGATCCTGTAATCCCACTCCTGGGCATATATCCAGAGAAAACTGTAATTCGAAAAGATACATGTACCCTAATGTTCACTGCAGCACTATTCTTAATAGCCAAGGCATGGAAGCAATCTAAATGTCCAGACAAATGAATGGATAAAGAAGATGTGGTATATATATATAATGGAACATTATCAACCATAAGAAAGAATGAAATCATGCCATTTGCAGCCACATGGATGGACCCAGAGATTTTCGTACTAAGTGAAGTCAGGCAGAGGAAGACAAATATCACATGATATTGCTTATATGTGGAATCTAAACAACAAACAAAAAAAACCATCAAAGTGATACAAATGAACTTATATACAAAAGAACTTATATACAAAACAGAAATAGACCCACTGACATAAAAACCAAACTTATGGTTACCAAAGGGGAAAGACGGGGAGGGTAAATTGGGAGTTTGGGATTAACAAATACACACTACTATATATAAAACAGATAAGCAACAAGGACCTACTATATACTGATAACACAGGTAACTATACTCAATATTTTGTAATAACCTATAAGGGAAAATAATCTGAAAAAAAAAAAGATACATAGGAACTTCTCTGGTGGTCCAGTGGTTAAGAATCCACCTTCCAACGCAGGGGACGCAGGTTTGATCCCTGGTCAGGGAACTAAGATCCCACATGCCGCGGGGCAACTAAGCCTACATGCTGCAACTACAGAGCCCACGCGCTCTGGAGCCCATGTGCTACAACTAGAGAGAAGCCTGCACACTGCAACAAAGAGCTCACGTGCCTCAACGAAAGATCCCATGGGCTGCAACTAAGACCTGACACAGCCAAAAATAAATTAATTAATTAAAAAGTGTTCACTTAAAAAAAAAAGATATATATGTATGTATAAATGAATCACTTTGCTATACACCTGAAACAAGCACAACATTGTAAATCAACTACACTTCAATTAAAAGAATTTTTTAATAAAATAAAAAGGACTGAGCTGCATACATATTTTAAATGTACTGGTTACCTTCTAAGTGAAAATTCTACATTACTGCAGAAATTAATCATGTAGCACACAGCACTGAGCATCTAGCAAAGACTGTGGATTTTACAGAATTTTTTTTTTTTTTTTTGCGGTACGTGGGCCTCTCACTGTTGTTGGCCTCTCCCGTTGCGGAGCACAGGTTCTGGACGCGCAGGCTCAGCAGCCATGGCTCACGGGCCCAGCCGCTGTGAGGCATGTGGGATCTTCCCGGACCAGGACACGAACCCGTGTCCCCTGCATTGGCAGGCAGACTCTCAACCACTGCACCACCAGGGAAGCCCGATTTTACAGAATTTTTAAATAAAAGGCTAATTACTAATTACAAATACTCAGGTTGTACAGAGTAAAATTTTGCCTTTGTTCCACTACAAATCATTCAAACCACTGCAAATCACTCCTTTACAGCCAATGCAGCTTATCACTGACAATGGCAATAAGGATAACAAACCAATTGTTGGGCTGAAAACATACTTCTTTTGTATAGTAACAAATTACTTTGGCATGCATCCAGTATACCTATTACTTGATATAGATTTCAGCATTTCAAAGCTTTGACGGCAACTCAAAAATAAAAGCAGTTTCTTTGAGACTAAGCAGATCTCAATTCAAAGCTGAAGAATCATGTGGAATATAATACTGCACAGAGAAAATTCTTAGAGCATCAGGACTAGCAGGTCAATCTTTCTGGTTGAGAAAAAATATTGAAATTTAGTGACATAAAATTATGGCCTGAAGAAATAAGGTATTAAAAACACACACACACACAGAGAAGTGACTAAAAACTGAACTATATCATTTTATCACAGAGCTAGGATTAAACTTGGGGGTAACTGAAATTCCTCTATTAATGATCTTCTCACTTTTATGTCTGTTTCTCTACCTAAAAGGGGGGGGATATACTGATTTAAGATAAGCACACAATATAATCACTGTAGTATGGGAGCAGGAGGGGAGAAGACAGAATGAGGACAACAGGATGGTAAAAGGACAATGGGAAAGAAGTAGAACTGTGTCAGCAAAGAGAGTTCAGGGAATATTACGGAGGGAAAGGGTGAAAGGCTGTGTATTTTCAGAAGGAACCTGCAAGACGATTTTTCTCTTCTCATGGGTCCATCTTTTCAGTGTCATATTTGTGGTCAGCACTCACAGTTCTTTTGATCAACATTAACAGAAAGTAAATTATGAAGAGAAGAAAGTAGGTAAATATGAAAAGGAGAGGCTAATAGAAAAAAATTATTCCTGGCATTAAAATAACCTCCCAAAGGTCCCCAAATCTTCCAGAACAGATTAAAAGATACCTGATGCATTGAAATAAGTATTGATGACATACCAAAAATTAAACAGCACACAAACTGGGATTTTATTATAGGGACTTGGTTAATAGGTTTGGTAAAAACAAAAATGGAGGCAGTGCTATAAAAAACAAACAAGAAGGGCTTCCCTGGTGGCACAGTGGTTGAGAGTCCGCCTGCCGATGCAGGGGACGCGGGTTCGTGCCCTGGTCCGAGAAGATCCCGCATGCCGCGGAGCGCCTGGGCCCGTGAGCCGTGGCCGCTGAGCCTGCGCATACGGAGCCTGTGCTCCACAATGGGAGAGGCCACAACAGTGAGAGGCCCACGTACCGCAAAAAAAAAAAAAAAAATGAAAAAAACAAACAAGAAAAGAGAATGTCCATTTTTATCAACAGGAAATGTAGAACACACTCAAGAAATCATAAACAAAAAACACTGAGAATTCCCAGATGGACTTTATAAATAATTAAGCAAAATTCAGTTTCCATACTACTTTCTAACTGGCTCTATGTCAAAAGGACAGAGAAATGTTAAGGGATTTGGAATGTGTGACAGAATTATGGAAACAGGGAAGCCAAAAAACGTTTTAATGAGGAACAGAATTCATTAATATGATTTTTAATACATGTGGGAAAACCTCAGTGAGCTGGCAATTTAGAAGAAAAGTTTTGTTTTGTTCTAACACTAATAAACGAAAAACTTTTCAAAATGATCTGAAGTAAAAGCATAAGACCAAGGTTTAAGAGTTACATGAACACAAGATAAAAATGGGAAAAAAGACAAAGTAGGGGTTGGGGGGGACTAAAAGGACCTAAAGGAAAGAAAAGACTTGGGTTTTCAAAAGACATGATAAACCTGAAAAAAGCCCTGGTATTTATGGAATTCCTCCACAGAGCAGGATGACTCCAAGCAATTCAATGAGCTTTTCTCTTTGAATAGCATCAGAGCAATTGCCATAATTGATGCACAAAAACTCTTATTTGAAAATGACCAATGATGTAATTTGTCCAGGCTGATGATGCAATTTGTAACTTACTTCTTCCTTCCCTAACTGCCTTTACATTGGTTTTCAGAGTTCATTAGCATTTTTATCAGAGAGCCAGAGAGAGTGAACTGAAGAAAGCAAATAAAATGAAATTTCAAATCTGTCCTATGTCACTACTTGTTAGCATCTCTGGGAAAAGGTTTGGAAGAAAAGGCTGAACAAAGATTAATGGGAAAATGTTTTATTAACTGCAGATTTCACATATACTTACTAAACGTACATTTTGTCTCAATACCCCCAGGGAACTTAATACAGGATTTATTCTTTCAGAAATAAATGTCAGGAAGAAACTAACAGGATAGGACACATACACACACATACATACACAGAGTCCTGTTCAAATATGGAAACACCTACCCCACTAAATCTAAAACAAATCAGACACCCACACTGCTCCCAGATGCTCTGAAAAGGCATTTCAATGAAAAAGAAAGGACAGTCTTTTCAACAAAAGGTACTGGAACAATTGAACACCCATACATAAAACAAATGAACCTTAACCCACTTCTCACACATAGACAAAAATAATTCAAAATGGATCACAGATGTTAGTGTGAAACCTAAAAGTATGAGACTTCTATAAAAAAAAAAAAAACAGGAAAAAAATCTTTGGACCTTGGGTTAGGCAAAGAGTCCTTAGATAACATATCAAAAGCATGATCCGTAAAAGAAAAAAATTATAAACTGGACTTCACCAAAATTTAAAACTTCTGTTCTTTAAAAGACAATGTTAATAGAATAAAAAAATAAAACCAGACTGGGAAAAAATATTTTCCAATCAAATATCTGATAAAGGACTTTTATCCATAATATATAAGTAACTTTCAAAATTCAAAAATAAAACATTTTTTTAAAAATAGGCAGGGTAGACTGTTCACTAAAGAAAATATATGAATGGCAAATAAGCACATGAAAAGGATACACAAAATCATTAGTTCTGAGGGAAATGCAAATTAAAACCACAATAAGATACCATGATACACCTATTAGAATAAGAGTGGGGAAACTGACAATGCCATGTGCTGGTGAGGATATTAGCAATTAGACCTTTCAAACATTGCTGGTGGGAATGCAAAACAATAAAACCACCCTGTAAAACAATTTGGCACTTTCTTACAAAGTTAAACATACATAACCATATGAGACTCAGCAATTACTCTTAGGTATTTATCTAAGAGAAATGAATATTTATTTTCATATAACAACTATATACAAATGTTTAGAGTAGTTGTAATCATAATCAGCAATAACTGAAAATAGTCCAAATGCCTTTAAACTAGTGCATAGGTAACACAAACCCAATACAGTGGAATACTACTCAGCAATTAAAAATGCATTATGCTAAGTCAAAAAAGCAGATTCAAAGCCCTCATACTATATGCCTCCATTTTTAGAGCATTCTGGAAAAGGCAAAACTATAGGGACAGAAAACAAATCGATGGTTGCCAAGCAGTGGAAAAAGAGGGAGGAGCTGACCACAACAAGAGGATCTGGGGTGGGAGGAACCTGTACCCGATTGTGTGATGGTTACAAGGACCACACACATTTGTCAAAACTTAACGGCTGTACATTAGAAAGGAAGAAGTTTACTGTTTGCAAATGATACCTCAATTTTTTTAAAAGCATTATACATGCATTCAATTAAAATAGAACACAAGGGTAAGAAGTATGAAGTGATGGTCTCTCTCCACTCTGTACTTTATAAATACAAAACACCACTGTTAATTTCCACAGTACCTTCCTCAGAGGAAACTTGGCTCTTGCTAAAGTACTGATATTCCTAACAATCACATCATAAATACCCTCAATGATAAGACTGATTTCATCTCATGATTTGGACCAAAGAATCTGGTGGTCATGTCCCGACTGTTTTCAAATGTTTCAAACAGGAGAAGTTGTCTAACACCTAGAATAAGGCCTTTCAGTCTGAAAGGCTCTGGTTTAGGCCTACCTTTGGCACCATCTGTGAAAGCTGCTGGACATCCATTGCATCTATTTCTTCTCCTGAGACTGACTGGGAGGTTTTGGAATATAATCCCAGACGACTAGCTGAAGTGAAATGGGAAAGAAAACATAATTAACCAAATTGGTTTTGCTTGATAGGCTAGTCAACATAATGCTCACTTAATATGATTTATCAACTCACTTTCCCTTTAAGTATAAAATGTCTTTATATGAAGGGATCACAAGACAGACTACAGTAAGACAAACACAACTGAATTAGTAAAAACTGTGGGGTTTTCTGTTTGACTACTTTATTTTTGTTTAAATTTAAGAATAAAGAGTTTTCACAATTTAACCCACCACACCTAAGAACTGAAACAAGGCCAAGCAGGTTCTGCTTGGGAGCTCAATTTTAATGAAGATCAGAGTGCATTTTAAATAAAGTAAACAAAGCCAGCCAAAATGGTGGCTCATCTGTGGTATCATGTAGTTGTTATGTAAATGAAAATAAATGTTGAGAAGTTTCTCTAGGAACAATCTTCCCAACAATATTATGTTTCCAGTGACATATTTTTCTTAGATCACATAAAGTGTGAAATTCCTGTCTCAGTCTCTTTCCATATTAATAAGATAAGAATTAATGAACTTTAACAAATTTAAAATTTATCAGTATGAATTATAGTTTACAGGTTCTGGGAGATTAACTTCCATGTCCATTTTATTTCCTTATACTTGTTAAGTAATCTTAAGCTGCATTCAAACAACATAGGCATATATGTATTAGACAACAGAAATACAGACACAAGTTATTTTCTTTCAAATTAGGTACAAAATCTGCTTTTAAAAAATTATACTCAAGTTGAAAGAAAAAACTAAATTTCATATTTTCTTTCACATTCATGATCTAGCGCTTTTATCCGTCAGCATAGTGGACTATGAGGTTAAAAATAATCAACTATTCTTTTGTAAATAAAATAATGTGATTTCACAATGCTTTAGTTATTTTCAACTAATAGTATTATTTTTTTAACTAAAATAAAATTTGGTCCACAATTTTATAGAGTATGAGCAAACAAAAGCATCAATCTTAACTGTATAACTCAGTATTATGTAAACACACTTCATGTCAAATGATTCACAAAACTATGCACTGCAGTAATTTAAGAAAAACTATGGAAAACAAAGGAAGCAGCCTAGTTATACCGATTGCAATTGCAGTCTCCTGTGAGTCCCCAGTAATCATTTTTATTGACACTCCCGAGGCAATGAGTGTTGTAACAGCTTCTTTCACACCAGTTCTAGGAGGATCAATGATTCCCACCAGGCCAAGGAACGTCAGTTGCCCCAATTCAGGACCAGAAGCCAAAGCAAGAACTTGGGAAATAATAATAAAATCCGAAAAAGAAAATGTGAATCACAAAACCATTAGAATTTACTTTACAAAAGCTGGAGACCACAACACTTCTCAGATAAATGACTTAAGACGACAATGTCATTGTGGTAATTACAAAAACTCTAAAAATCAGAATTATTACATGCAAAGATATTCTAGTTTAATGGTTCTCAATATGGGGTTGCTTTAACTTATTAAAAATTAAAAAGAATAAGACTAAAGAACTGTTAAGCAGAGAAGGCAAGTGAGGAGCAAATAAGAAATGTTTTCACATAGCAAACATGCAGCTCCTTTCAGCAGAAACTACTGACTCTTAAGAAAAATACAATTAATTATTTGGAAAACTACAGGTTTGTTGAGCTTTTTTTTAAAAAAAAAATTTTTTTAATAGATTTGTTTTATTTATTTATTGGCTGCGTTGGGTCTTCCGTGGCTGTGCACGGGCTTTCTCATGTTGCCGAGGGTTTCTCACTGCGGTGGCTTCTCTTGTTGCGGAACACACAGGCTCCACGCGCACGGGCTTCAGTAGTTGTGGCGCATGGGCTTAGCTGCTCCGCGGCATGTGGGATCTTCCCAGACCAGGGCTCGAACCTGTGTTCCCTGCATTGGCAGGCAGATTCTTAACCACTGTCCCACCAGGGAAGCCCCAGTTTGTTGAGCTTTAAAGTCAATTTTAAACAGTCACCTTTGAAGGTGGCTTCTCCTAATGTACCTTCATCTTTCCATCTTATAGGCCTCCAGAACAATTCAATAGCTTGAAGAGAAGGCTATATTAATTATATACAACATGTAATAATTTTGTACACAACAAACCCTGGGAGGTAAAGTTAATTTGTAAAGTGATTGTAAAACCACTAATACCAACAATAGTTTCTATTCTTTCACTCTTTCTGTAACATTAATAGGATTTTCTTATTTGTTACTTTGGTTCTCTTAAAACTATATAAATAATACCACCATACCATCATTTATAGTTAGTTTCCTGTCGTCCTCGGGAACTTAAGATATAGCACAAAGTACCGTTCATTTCCAAATACCATTTAGCTTTTTCTCAGAATTCTGGAACCTCTGGTAGCTACCTTATGAGCCAGAGGGATGTGCCTCCATCTGGAATATTATAAGACTGAACAACTTACCAAAGAAAACACACCAAAAAAAGCACACAAACTAAACATGTATCTTACAGGGAAACTGAAAAGTCCCAGAGAGATCACGGGAAGTATCCATTCTTATTCAAGCAGAAGGTATGAAGGATGAAATACATTTGGAAAACCATGGTTAGAGGCAAATGACTTCTGTTTTTCCAGTGTACGAGTCATACCTAACTATTTACGTAGATGTGAGCCCCAAACGCTTTCACTCTGGAGAGAATGAGCCACTTGACAGTCCCTAGTGTTGGAACAGAGGCAGATGGCAACAGAAGGGGGGCACTGAGTATCAATCTGTGTGTCAGCAAATCTTAAGAAAGGGACACCAGCTCCTGGCACTCTCAGTGAAGGGGTGGTATTAGCCCAGAGGTCAGTATCCTGTATTTATTTGTTTGCTTCTTTAGCACAAATGAAGATCTATTGTTACTGTTTGGGACAAAGATATGTAGACCTTTTCTGTGTGGAGGGCCCCCAACTTCCTCCTTTATATTTAAAACATAAAAACGAAACGTACTCCAATTTTTAAATTAACGACATGTATTTTAAGAAACTTAAGTTTTATAAAGTATAAAATAAGTTCATATCAAGTTAAACTTAAAATCTTTATTCATTTATTCTTTACTCTTCATTCGGTAACTTCAGCGGGAAGAGGAAAATGGAGCATAAGCAGAGAAGAGGAAAAGATATGAAGCAAGGGACAAATGCCCAGAATGTTTCCCAAAGCCCTGTGAAACAAAGACGTTCTCCTCCACCAAGTCTTGTCTATTTCACAATGTTACCACACCAAACCACACATACACAAAGCTCCACAATCTTTCAGATGAAGAGAATTAGTCAAAAAAAAGTGTGAAACGTCTGTTACAAAAATTGAGGAAAACAGGGAGCACATACCAGACCTTTAAGACTGTCTAAATGCAACCCAACTTTGAAACCCTTTTGCTGTGAGCTGCTAAGAATAACAAAACACTGCCCTCAAATGAAGCCACAAGAATACCTTTCTAAACCTATCTTCTTATAAGAGCAGAAGTCTTGTAAATTATACTTGTTTCCTGCTCCCAGGAACTGTGGTGCTTGACTTCCATTTTGTAAATAACAATAAAATTAAGGAAGCCAACTCTTCCAATTTCCTTGAGAAAGACTACATAAGTGCATGGGTGTGGGTGTGTGTATGTGTGTGTGTATTCCCCACAAGCCAGAAGGTAAAAACCAGGTACGGCCCCAAGCCCTGCTCTTCAACCCTACATACACACAATGTCCCTAGAAGAAGCGGCCGATGTGTGTGTGCACAGCAGACCCCCTTTCCCTGTCACTGTCCAGTCAGCAGCATTTCACAAGGCAGAGTCTGGGCACCTCTTTCCTCTCTGGTGATCGGCAAGGGAAGGAGTCAGCAGATGAGGAACAAGTAAGTAACCACCTCAGTTTAAAGAATTAGAGGCTTAAGTCTTTTAATATTTAGGAAAGTATTTTAGATTAACAAACAAGAGCCAGTGATAACATAAGGAAGGAGTAACACCACCTTACTTCTATCTATCCCTGTTCTCACAAGATAAACTTGTCTAAAATAAAATTTCTATCACCTGCTCAGAGACCACTGCAGGTCTGTAAGAACCAGAGATTTCATATTTTGCTACATTCCCAACTTTTTATGTTTTGGGAACATAGAAACAATTAGCCAACTAAAACCTAACACTTCAGAAATGGCAGGCTTCTACGAACCCTGGAATAGAGCTGTGCAGCTCAGAAGTGAAGCACGAATTCATCTGCAATTAAAAGAAGGCATTACCTCTTCACCTAGGGGACGGTGCTGAAATGGCCTTACCTCTGAGCCCTGCAGAGCCCATCTGGGCCTTCTCTTGTTGGTACAGATCTCTCTGCTGCTGGGTGAGTGTCAAGGTCTGCCCTTTGCTGTGATATGTAGTACAATACTTAATCACCTGTTCATAAGCACCCTTCATAAAACAAATCTCTGGTCTGTCCTAAGAAGAAAAAACACAGCAAATAAATTCAAGTTAATTTCAATTTGTATATATCTGCCATTGGAATCAAAAACAAGCGACATGCATTCCCATAATCCCCAGGGAAGTTACTCAAGCCTAAGGCTTTGAACAGCACTTGAACTCTGAAGATTAAAAGCTCACATGGGAGTTTTCTGCATCCTCTTTAGAACACAGCATCTACTCCACACCCTCAGCGCCACAGTGAAGGCAAGGCTACACTCAGCTCCACACTAGGCACTCTCAGCTCACGATGTAACAGGAAAGGGAAAAAGATCTAACGTCAGCCCACAAGCAATGGTTTAGGCTTTCTACTACTGCTATTATATGTATACACGTGACCCCATTTAATTCTCACAACCACCTTGTAATTATGGGTATTATCAGACATTTTATTTTTTACCCTAGCAAAGTAATAAACAAAAACTTACAATGAAAACCCACAGTCCCCTGCCTAAAACCTCCTCACCTCCAGTCCTACTCCACAGAGGCAAACCAATTTTATTTTATTTCTTTATAAATTTATTTATTTTTAATTTATTTTTTGGCTGGGTTGGGTCTTCGTTGCTGCGCATGGGCTTTCTCTAGTTGCGGCGAGCGGGGGCTACTCTTCGTTGCGGTGCGCCTGCTTCTCATTGCGGTGGCTTCTCTTGTTGTGGAGCACGGGCTCTAGGCGCGCGGGCTTCAGTAGTTGTGGCACGCAGGCTCAGTAGTTGTGGCACACGGGCTTAGCTGCTCCACGACATGTGGGATCTTCCCTGACCGGAGCTTGAACCCATGTCCCCTGCATTGGCAGGCGGATTCTTAACCACTGCGTCACCAGGGAAGCCCTTAATTATGTTTTTATTGCTACTTGTTCACTAAACAATTTTATACTCTGTCTACTGTGACAGGTGATCGTCTGGCCACCCCCACTATCTACTCCTTCTCCTCACTGTTATAATACATGCAGAGCAAAACTCACCAGTATTCTGCTCACTTTCTAATTCCTCACTGCTGAGCCAAGTGGCCACCAGAGCAGTTCACAAACTTCCCAGCTCTCCTTGGAGGCACACGGTAGAAATGTATTTCCCTGCACCTCTTACCACTCTGAAGTCAGATGTGATTTGCTTTGGCCAATAAACATGAGCAGTACTTGTGTCACTTCCAAATGGTAATTTAGGAACCAGTGCATAACGTGGTCCTCCTCTGCCTTGGTACGACAGTGTGAGCTCACACTGAGAGGAGCATCCATCTCTGTGGTCCCCAAGTGAGCAGTAACCAGATGTTACGGGGAAACAGGGAGCAGAAAGGTACGATGTTGTTTCCATGACCTACAGAAGCCAAATATATTTCTTCCTGTTCAAGTTTTACCTTTCATAAAGTTAATAATTGTCTCTTTTTTTATTTGCTTAGTTTTCTTTACACCTATTACTCATTATTCCCAAGCTCCTCCATGTCATATAAAGCCCTTCTCAATGTATTTTTCACATAATCCAATAAGTAGGTGAGCCATTACTCCCATATTATGACTGAGAACTCCCTCCTCGGGCTGTGCTCTCCCTTCCTTTTCCAGTGTGAGTTGGCTCATTTCCAGGCTTGCTGCATGACTGGCATCCAGGAGCTTCCCTTCACCCCTCTGCTGGTTAGAACTCACGAGGTTTTAAGTCTCCCTGTTCCTTGATTTATACCCTTACCTTGGAATAACACATCCATCAGTATCTAAGAAAAGCTGTGTGGGCTATACACTTTGAGGCTTGTTTGGAAACATTTTTATTTTACCCCCACATATGTAAGCTCAGCTGGGAAGAGATCGCCTCTCAGTTGAAGGCTTTCCTCCATCATCTTCCAGCCTCCAGTGTGCAGTGCTGCATTTGGAAAGTCCTAAACTTTGGTGTAGGACCTCCTCCCCCTTGCCCTTCCTCCCACCCCACAATCTCTGGAAGCTTTTAGAATGCTAAGTGCCCTCAAATTACTTGATCGTGGGCCTTGGTGTGTTTATTCTCTCACTCCCACCCCTCTGTAACATACACATTGTGCCGAGCAGCTGGTGGGCAATTTTATTCTAGAAGCTGAAGTTCTTCCTCTAGAAATTTTCCTGATGTTATTTGCTAAAATCTTCCCATTTTCTGTCACCACTATTAGGTGGATATTGGATCTCCTACATCAATTCTCTCATTTTTACACCTTACCTTTTGTATTGTCCACCTCTTTGACTTTTCTACTTTCTGACAGATTTCTTGACTTTATTTGAAAAACATTCTACTTAAAGTATCTTGTCATTTTTTATGGTCTTTGGAAATTTTCTTCAGCATCCAGCACTATCTTTGTTTCTGAGACCCTTTTCTCTGTTGGCTTGGTCTGTGTCTTTCATACTGAAGGCTTTCCCCAAGTATCTCGCAATCCTTGTCTGTCCATTTACATTCAAGACCAAAGCAAATAAAGGTCTAGAAACTCCATGGGCACTGCAGGGTTTATCAACTGGTAGCCCTCACAGTAGAGTGACAAGACGAAGACCAGGAGCAGGTAAACTCTACCAATGAACAAAGAGCTTATTTAGGACTACTCCATACTGTAGGGATCTCCCCAGGACCAGTCAGCTTCTCTAAAACTCTTCGATCTTCTGACTTGGAGAATGAGGATATGGGGATACCTACCTGCAAGCATTCTGAGAAAGTGGAGTTAGGACCTAGGACAACGGCTTGCCCTTAATCACCCTGTGTTTAGTCTTAAACCTTAATTCTGCCTTCCACTCTTGTCCCCAAGATGACATTTCTGGTCTGGCCTCAAGAAACAGAAAGGTAAGTGGGGGAGTTCTACTGGTTCCTTATTAGAATTTTAACCTGCTCTCGTCTTTTTAGCCACATGCCTTAGGCCCCACCTTCAAAGATACCTGTCCCCCTAAGTCTTTCCCATACTTCCTCTTTTTTAGTTCATCTTTTATTCGTTGGTTGTCATTTTGGTAGGTTCCAGGGAGAGAGCAGAGATAAATGCAGACTGTCGTGTTCAAATGAAAGTCCTCTAAAGACAAACTATTTGAGCCTGAGGCTGTTTTTTGTTTGTTTGTTTGTTTCTGGCTACATTGGTCTTCATTGCTGCCCGTGGGCTTTCTCTAGTTGCGGTGAGCAGGGGCTACTCTTCTTTGCAGTGTGCGGCTTCTCGTTGTGGTGGCTTCCCGTTGCAGAGCAGGGCTCTAGGCACGCGGGCTTCAGCAGTTGCAGCACGCAGGCTCAGCAGTTGTGGCACACAGGCTTAGCTGTTCCGCAGCATGTCGGATCTTCCCAGACCAGGGCTCAAACCCCTGTCCCCTGCATTAGCAGGCGGATTCTTAACCACTGTGCCACCAGGGAAGTCCCGTGGGGCTGTTTTTAAACTGGTACATTTTTCATATCTGTGCCAGGCTGACCTCTTCTAGATCCTGAGTCAGGTCAGCGGGTTTGGGTTTTGTTAGTTAAATCTGTTGATTCTGTTTTCTAAGAGAAACTCTTCAAGTCAGCAAATGGAAAGAATAATCACACCCTTTCTATACTTATATCCCGCCACTCCCTACCCCTACTCCCAACTGAAAAGAGTCAATGTACAACTTTGGTGAGGTTAGATTCAAAATTGCTGAAGTCAAATCTTCGAACTTTACATGAGCCACATTATCTTGAAGTAGTGTGTGATCATATATAAAATGTAAAGAAATACACCTTGCAAATAAACTCATATACATATTCTTGCTATGTAACTATATAGACAAGGGACATCAGCTAAAAATTACCTAACTCTGATGCAATTTTTGAAAGCTTTACATTACAAGGTTTAAAGTAACAGGCATTTTATTTTTATAGTTTTGTTTTCAACTGTATCCCTTCCCTGAAGTTTATAAAAGTTCCTTTAAAGACTAAACAGAAATCTTTTTTCCCCTCATCATCAGAGTTCCTGGCACAAGTTCAATGTTGAGCAATTTAAAACCAATGTTTCCTACTTATTATGGGCAAGGGAGAATCCTCTCACTACTTCCCATCTACAGAGATGTAACTGGTTTCTAATGTTTGCTCACAGGTAAAAACACATAACCGTTTATTAATTCCTAATAAAGAAAATGTAAAAACAGCTATATATTTTTAAGGCCAAAGTAAGTGTAAGCATCAAGCTGGTAATAGCAACTATGAGTGATATGATTATACACTGTAGATAACTATTGTACATAACTCTTACTGCACTGTGTAAAAATTTCTAAAGCACCCAGAGATAAGGTAGTAGCTTGAAATATCAGTGCATTTCGTTTTGTCAGTTTGTAAGCTGGATCAACTAACATGAATTATACACATTTGGTAACCATGTTTCCACAAAATAATGTAGTTTTTGTTCAGCCTGAAGACAAGACATTCTTCAGTGGAAAAACACAGACAGCAGAAACCTGTCATCAAGAACAAAAAAGATGTCGAAAGGCTTATGTCACAATCTCCAGGAGACTGAGACCAGGCTCCAGCTCATTTGAGCTGTTTGCTCACGCAGCAAAACTGACATGTCTATGCATAAATTCAAAGAGAACATGAAAACAACCAGGGATGAGTGTACTATGAATCACACACACTTCAGAGCTGGTCTGTGTTATGCTCAATGACTGCTTAAATCTAAAGGTGGATAATAAATGAAAAACAGTAATCTAGTTAAACAACACAGAGTAAGTTTTCTATAAATGGAAGGATACCTGCTGTGTTCGGTGCACACACTTAACAGCCATCCACTTCTGCTCAGAGCTAAAAGGGTATTCAGCTTTTCTGATATAATCCTGTTGAAGTCCATCAAGACCCATCTACATGGCACAAAAGGGAAGTTAATTCTCACCAACACGTGACTACTTTTTCCTTTAACAAAGAAACAAGGGTCACAACTTTGTAGGGAGGCTGGCTAGAGATACCTGGATTATTTTTCAAACAGCTGTGTTCCATCTATACCTCCCATATTTCTCTGAACAGCAGCACACATGTTCAACATGAAAGCCTAGGTGTTTGATAAAGTCTAGGGCATGCTATTGAACTACATACAGAGCAAAACTTTAACACTGACTATATTAAAATCTCAACTGGCTCAAACTCTGGAAGGAAGCAGGATAACAAATAAAGGTGCCCAGCCAATACATACTTTATAATCAACAGAAGCTTCAGATTCAACTCCTCGCTTCTCTGGGATTCGAATTTACCCTGCCGGCTGCTGCCATGCTACTCCCTTTCGCCCCACCCCTTGACATGCCAACTACTACCAATGCCATGTAGCTCTTCTCCTTCCTTACCCTTTGCATTTCCCACCAAATATTCAAAAATATTCTTTAAACTATTCAAAAACCTGGCTTATTGCTTTTACTGTCTACTGAAACATGTTCAGACTCTCCTTCCTAGCTTTCAAAAATCCTCCAGTAACCCACTACACAGCCTACCTAACCACCCTCGGAGCCACTCAAACTGTTCATTTCATCCGGGTTAACCAAATTCATAAGCCATAATCCAGTCCATGCTTTTTTATTTCTCTGTGCTTTTATTCTTGCTCTTTCCCTAGCTTATCCCCCCACCCCCATCTAAATCCTTCCTCCCCTTCAAAGTCCAGGTCCCAAGTCCAAATGTGCACTCTTCTTACATACGGCTCGACTCCCTACCTAAATTGTGAGGTCCCCACCCATAAAGAGGCGGTTTCACACACTTTGTTTCTCAAAGAGAGAAAGTTAAATATAACACAATAAATACCTGTTATTTAACTTCGGACATCTTTTAAAAAGCTATACTATGCTGTTTTAGTTACAAGGAGAACAAATGATAAAGGAATGAGACTTTCTGTTAAGGAAACAGAAATAATGTATATATTATAGAAATACCAATTTTACTTTATCAAGTTAAATGTTACAACAACCTACCTTTCTATATTGAATCTCAATTCAAGCAACCTCATTTAGAGGCATCCTGTTTTATATAAGTCTCAAAGTTTCCTAAGACTGCTCTTAAAAGTAGTTTTATTTTTGTTATGGGAATGCCAGGTTGGACTTTTAGGTTTCTCATTTAATCAACTGTAGGACTTAGAAGAGGAGATCAATTGGGACAGATAAAAGGGTCACTGAGGGCAGCACCCCTTCTCCCCAACACAAACGCTAACTCTACACTCACTGTAAGAAATTGATAATGAGGAAGGGGAAGGAAAGGAAATGGAAGACTGGAAAAAGTAAAGCTGACTTCTCATGCTGGCCTTAATACCTTCATGTGGAAATACTAAAGAATGCTGCCTCTTACGCATTTGAAAATAGGCATTTATCAGCAATTACACACATTTATACAGCTTTTCACACTACACTCTGAGTATTATGGAAGACAAGAATATTACTTCATAAGAACAAAACTGTCACTGGTCATTAGTTTGTATGCTGCATGTAGGAGATATAAAGTTATAGTGAAAAACCTCTATGCTCTGTATTTCCAGGAAGAATAAAATTGGTTCCCAAAAGGCAATAAAAACTATGAAATAATGTGAATCTTCTTCACTCTACACCTAAAAGCCAGTAATACTGAAATTTATGGCTTCACATTCTCTTGTGAGGGTGATATTTTCACATGTCAAAGAAGAGAGACCAGGCACATACCTTCATTGCAAGAGCAATTAAGGCTCCTTCTGTTGGTTTCCCCATTAGAGTGTTGTTTCTAATTACAGCATCATTGCACACACAGCCCGCCTAAGAGAAATACACATAAACTATGAATCCATCACTGCATCCTAAGTCATTATGAAGAGAGCCACTTTCTTAGAGAATGCAATATTTACCTCGACAATTCTGCTAACAGATGGGTTATAGAATCCATGAACAACATCACCATCAACAATCACTTCCCCAAATGGATTGTAGCCAACTCCAGTAACCTAAGGAATGTAGAGTCAATAATACCAGCAGACAGTGACAATACTTACGAAAACCAAAAGCTATGAGTTGCGTTCATTTCATTTTATACATCATGACACTGTTAGTGTGTACACCTAGAAAAGCATTTAAATTTGTCTGAAACAACATTAATAAAAGAATATAGATAGTAATTTTCACCACAATGGTAAACCTACAGTTAATTATACTAATAATTAACTACTAATTATGCTAATTAATCATTATAATGCATAGTATATTGTAAATAGAAACACGTAATTGTTAATATAATTAATATAACCTTATATTTCCTCTACTTACAATATACTATAGAAAGGATAAATAAACCATGAAAATCTCTATATATAAAGAGTGAGCTTAAATTTATATAACATTACATTTATGTAACACTACAATTTGCAAAGAATTCAAATCTATTACCACATCTAACATTCATGACAAACCTGTGACCTAGACAAAAGTAGAATTCTTTTTGCAAATATGCAGGCTCATAGACAAGTGATTTACCCTAGCACTTACAAACTACTTTAACATAGTATATATTACATGCAAATTTTTAAAATCAGAGACAAGTCAGATACTTATCCTATACAGCTAGAACAAACCAAGCCAAAGAAAAGTTAAATATCACAATAAAAATAGGACAGTTTAGAGGAATTAACAAACAGTTAATGTTTGACATATAAAATTATGGGCTTAAAACAAAAGAGAAACCTATATCTTACCTTTCATACCTGGACCATATAATATAAGCACATGTAACCCCAATGACCCTTCTGAGTCATCCAGAAAAGGCACATTCAACATAGCACTGGGTATCCTTAACCAAATCTAACACCGTAAATATCAATAGTCTCATTTTAAGACCTAGTAAAATGGAATTAAATAGACTTAAGTACAACTTCTGTCAATTTGTGAAATGCTTCCTTTGCTCAGACAATTGGCTATAAATACATTTTAAAATACTGTTCCCATCATCAATAGTGTTAATGAAAATTCCAGCCAGAAATCCCACAAGGTCCAATACCAATCCAGAGATTGGAACGTGTGCACATACACTGACATGCACTTCAGGGGCTGCCAGTGTATAATTTTTAAAGTAGATTAATTCATCCATTCATTTATTCTTTCAGAAAGTATTTACTAGTATGAGGCAGACCCTGTGCTGGGCAACAGAGATCCTGCTCTATTATATTGGGTTGGCCGAAAGGTTCAGTTTTTTCCCTAAGATGGCTCTAGGAGCACTTAGTTGTCTTTAACTTCATTCAATACAATTTTGTTAGATTGTATGTGACAGCTGTTATACCAGTGTGCATTTAAAATAAGGCTTATTAAAATTGGTGAATTTTTGTGTAGCCATTTTAATACTGAAGATTGAAGGAAAAAAGCAACATTTTCAGTATATCATGCCTTATTATTTCAAGAAAGGTAAAAACGCAACCGAAATGCAAAAAAAAATTGTGCAGTGTATGGAGAAGGTGCTGTGACTGATTGAATGTGTCAAAAGTGGTTTGCAAAATTTCGTGCTGGAGATTTTTCGCTGGACGATGCTCCACGGTCGGGTAGACCAGTTGAAGTTGACAGTGATCAAGTCGAGACATTAATTGAGAACAATCAACATTATACCACGCGAGAGATAGCCGACATACTCAAAACATCCAAGTCAAGCGTTGAAAATCATTTGCACCAGCTTGGTTATGTTGATTGCCTTGATGTTTGGGTTCCACACAGGTTAAGCGAAAAAAATCTTCTTGACCGTATTTTCACAGGTGATTCTCTACTTATAATGAAAATGTTTCATTTTTAAAACAAATTGTGACAGGCAACAAAAAGTGGATACTGTACAACAGGGTGGAATGGAAGAGATTGTGGGGCAAGTGAAATGAACCACCACCAACCACACCAAAGGCCGCTTCATCCAAAGAAAGTGATGTTGTATATATGGTGGGATTGGAAGGGAGTCCTCTACCATGAGCTCCTTCCGGAAAACCAAACGATTAATTCCAACAAGTACTGCTCCCAATTAGACCAACTGAAAGCAGCACTTGACGAAAAGTGTCCAGAATTAGTCAACAGAAAACGCATAATCTTCCATCAGGATAATGCAAGACCTCATGTTTCTTTGATGACCAGGCAAAAACTGTTACAGCTTGGCTGGGAAGTTCTGATTCATCTGCCATATTCACCAGACATTGTACCTTCGGATTTCCATTTATTAAGGTCTTTACAAAATTATATTAATGGAAAAAATCTCAATTCCCTGGAAGACTGTAAAAGGCACATGGGACAGTTCTTTGCTCAAAAGGTAAAAAGTTTTAGGAAGATGGAATTATGAAGTTGCCTGAAAAATGGCAGAAGGTAGTGGAGCAAAAGGGTGAATACGTTGTTCAATAAAGTTCTTGGTGAAAATGAAAAATGTGTCTTTTATTTTTACTTAATAACCAAAGGCACTTTTTGGCCAACCCAATACTTACATGGGAAGAGGGACAGAGGATTTCACCTGAACTAAGAGGTATGGAACTATGAAAAGGGGTAACACAGGGTGAGTTCTGGGTGGTCAGCAAAGCTTTTCTGAAGAAATGGGTTGGAAATGAGGTGCAAAGGTTGAAGAGGCATTAGACTGTCCTAAGTAGTGACAACAGCAGCAAAGGTCCTTCAGTAGGAGGAATTCTGTCACACTGAAAGAACCATAAAGTCAATGTATTTGGTGTATGGCGAGCAAAGGAGAGATACAGGCTGAGGAAGGAAACAAGCGACAGAACACGTAGGGCTGTGAGCAGCCCCATTTCAGGACCCTGGTCACAATGCGAAGCCCCTGAAACATCTTCATTTAGGCATCCAGAGTCTGGTAATAGATGGATGTAGGGGAGACAGACGGAGAGGTGTCGAGGGGGATCAATGTTTCTGGACTGCACAACTGGAGCGGGATCAAGACTTGGGAGAATCACATGGGACAGAAAATGTTCAGCTGCTAACTTGCAGCCCTTCTAAAGACACTAGAATGGTTAGGAACGCTAAACACCAAAACTTCTGAAAGGGAAATCTGCTGTTAAAAAAAAAAAGTCTATAGAGTACCTCAGCACGCAGGCCATCCGAAGTAAATACGTGGGTAACAGTCATTTCATTCTTCGTCAGGGTCCCAGTTTTATCTGAACAAATCACATTACAGCAGCCTAAAGAATAAATCACTACAAGTCACCAAGAGTCAGGGAAAAATGTAAGTTCACATTAAAAACAAATCAAAGATTCTGGAAGCCTGCCCTGCTTCTATGAAATTTTGTACAAATCAAGCTCATGGATAATTTTAGGTTGTTTTCTCTCCTGTGCTTACTTCATCATGAGGTATGAACAGTTTTAATTAGATACTGATAAATGCTGACTTTTTCTTTATTTCCAGTTGAATTTCTACAAAGCTACCTGATAACAGCTTTATGTAGTGACTTTTCATGTAGTGAAAACTAGTGACATTTTCTAGAAAGTTTCAAGGTTACCTTAATATAAACCCATATAATATAAACCCATATAATTTTTTCAGCCATTATTTTAAGGAATTTTTGCCTTCTCAATATTAAAATGCGAACTAGAAGTTAAATTCAACATTTCTGAATTCCTAAATAAAAAGAAGTTTCATAACATAAAGTTACCACAATTTTCATATCACACATAAAATTGTTACAGCAATATAATTACTGTATGCTTACTGTTCTTAATAAATGCAACTCAAGAATGACATTTTAGGATCTATAATTATCAATTATCTTCCTTGAGATGTCAAAAGAAAACATTTCTCTGTCACTCTATGGTTTCATTTGTTACTTTTTTTTTTTTTACATGATTTAAGCATTAGAACAGTCCATGATGCAGAAAGATTTAAAGCTCCCCGACCCAAGTAATATGAATTTTTAATGACCTTTTTTGGTTGTTAAAACCATACTCAACATTGCGACAAGCCAGACACCACCATGTAAACCTCTAAGACAGGGGTCCCCAACCCCTAGGCCACAGACCAGTACCGGCCCAGGGCCTGTTAAGAACGGGGCCACACAGCAGGAGGTGAGCAGTGGGTGAACGAGCGAAGCTTCATCTGCTGCTCTTCATCACTTCCCATCGCTTGCGTTACCGCCTGAACCACCACCAACCTCCCCCCGTCTGTGGAAAAACTGTCTTTCGTGAAATTGGTCCCTGGTGCCAAAAAGGCTGGGGACTGCTCTAAGACAAAAGCTGTAAAACCCAAAGACCCCTGTTGATGTAAACTATCATGTCAATGAATAAGCATGCTCTAACCAGAGACTTACCCAGAGTTTCAACAATAGGTAGTTTTTTCACAATGGCCCTTTTCTTCACCATTCTCATAACACCAAGGGCTAGAGTCACTGTGACCACAATGGGAAGACCTTCAGGAATTGCTGCTACAGCCAAACTGTAACCAGTAAAGATATAGCATTGAAGTATAAATTCAGTAGTACCCATAGCAATAATTTCAATTGGCTGTTACTTAAAGCAGAGGTTAAAAATGTAAAATTGTTGTTGTCAAACCCAAAAAAGGTCTCAAAATGAGGGAAAACTGATTAACATTTATTGGACACCTACTAGCTACCAGGTTAAGCACAGTGGTTAAAGAATATAGGTTCTGACATCAGACTGCCTAGATTTGTACCCCCAGCTTCAATTTTCACCTGTGTGACCTCAAGCTATTATGCCTCCACCTCTGTAGTTTAGTTTCTCATCTATAAATATAGATAATAACAGGTGTTCAGACAAAAACTTGTACATGAATGTTCATAGCAGCATTATTCACAATAGCCAAAAGATGGAAAGAGCCCAAATTTTCATCAACTGATGAATGGGAAACTGTGGTGTGCCCATACAAGGGAGTACTATTCAGCCATAAAAAAGAATGAAGTACTGATTCATGCTACGAATGGAAAAACCTTGAAAACATCATGCTAACTGAAAGCAGCAGGACACATGTTGCATGATTTCACTTATATGAGATATCAAGAATAAGCAGATCCAAAGAGACAAAAGGCAGTTTAGTGGTCGCCAGATGGTAGGGAGAGGGAAGAATGGGGAATGACTGAAAATGGGCCCAGGGTTTTCTTTTGGGGGTGATGAGAAAGTTCTGACACTAGATGGTGGTGATGGTGGTAACATTATGAATGTATTTAACTTCACTGAACTGTATACTTTAAAATGGAAAATTTTATGGTATGTGCATTTTATCACAACAAAAAAAATAATTACTTCACTATTTCCCTTCGTAATACTAAAAAAGAAAAACCACCTCAAATTAAATCTCTACTTTTGTCCCATTCCATATCTCCTGATTCTGCTACAGATAAGGACAGGTGCATGCCTATCCTTCATTCTAACAATGCTCCCTGAACTCCCTCTACTGCCCAGTTTCTACAATATAATCTAGATCCAATGGACCTTTACATTTAAATCATTTTACAAATGATTTACAGAGGAATAAAATGGATTGTGAAAAACTTCAATAGAAATTTTCATTTGAATTTTAACCCCAAACTATATTCCTGGATTTGAAAGTATATATATCTGAATGGACAATGCCCTTTGAATGCAACTGCTCAACTGTCATGAATAAACGTGGAACATATTCACCTTTTAAAACAGTGATTTCAAATTCAAAAACCATTTCTAACAAGTTTTAGCTTTATCAATTCTGGTTCTTCTTTTTGCATTTGTCTCTTCAAAATGCAACACTTCTGGAAATGTTAATGGTCCATAACTTTTAGGACAGTCATCTTCTCAGTAATACAATACTGCATGACAAATTCCTTGCTGTAGAATGACTAACTATAAGAGAATGCCTGTCCTTCCCCTTTCATCCTTAAAAATAAACAGTTCAGGGAATTCCCTGGCAGTCCACTGGTTAGGACTCAGCGCTTTCACTGCCAAAGGCCAGGGTCAGGGAACTGGTCAGGGAACTAAGTCCCTGGTCAGGGAACTAAGATCCCACAAGCCATACAGCACAGGCAAAAAAATAAAAATAAAAACCCAGTTCACTCATTAAAATTCAGGAGTTTGAGAAAATCTAGAGTACCATCATCCAAGCATTCAGTGTTGAGATTACACTTATATGATTCAATTTCACCTTCATCATTAGAGCCTACAGTGGTTGTCTCTTTGCAGTCATCTTCTGGTTTGTCTAATAATTATGAAAATTCTTCTGTCAATTCTTCTTTGCCATTATGGTAAAAAAATTAAAAATTCTGAATTTCTCAATTTTGTTTAATGAATGCAAAAAAATAAACAAAAAAAAAGACTACCAAGATTTTGTCTCCAGACTTTTCTTATACCTTTTAAAATGATAATGTAATGCTTTGGGCAACATAATAAGAAAATTAAAGGATAACAGAATAATAATGATTTATTTATTATTAGAGTAGCCTTATAAGCTACTTATCCTTCTGCTTTCTCATTGTTTTACTCATTTTTAGCACAGTTGGAAATAATTGTTAAAATACTTGCTAGGGGAATAAAACAGCCAAGATGTTTCAACACGCAGGAAAAATAAGTTCACTAAAGATCCCACATGTATTTTAGCACATATAAATGTACAGTAGACCCATATGGTTATTGCAAAATAGAATGAGTTTTATTTTATTTAAAAATTCCTAAATGTTTGGTCCTTTGGAAGATCCTGAGGTAGGAATAAAAGTCATGAGGTATTAATCTTCACAAATAGTCAGAACTGCTCCAAAAAAAAATACTCAAAAACGTGAGTCCAACAGATAATAATATGCCAATGGTTAATAAAATTCATGCCCCATTTTAAATTCATTTCATATTTAACCCAAGGCTCCTTTATACATATTTAAGCCAAGAGTTTCAAGTTGTATTTTTGCTCCTCCAAGGAAAAACTATAGTCCTTCACTGTATCACAAATATCTTTTAACTTCTTATTCATCCTACTTATTCCTTGTACTCCACTTGACTTTTTTTTTAATCCATTGGTTTTTATTCTGAAACTTGAACTATTACTTGCTAGGCCTATTACAGAGCTGTCATCCAGGATTTCTTTTCGTTAGAGGACTAGGTGAGTTCCACTTTTTCTTACACCCTACACAACATCATCTTCCTTTCTTTCACCCTTGTTTTGCTGGAATTCATACAAGAATAGGTAAGGGATAAATTTTTTGATTACTTGCTTATCCATTTGTAATTACCTAAATTGATACTTTGGCTAGACCTAGATTTATAGATTTAAAATCATTTCCCCCCATACTTTAATTGTACTGCCCCACTGTCTTCTAATTTAATCCAATGTTGCTGTGGATGAAGGTTTAGTAAGATCCTTTTTCCCTTCTGTATTTGGTTAAATAAATCTCTAGCTCTGCTCCCTTAGTGACGACAGTATAGCAACTATGTTGCTAGGCAACACTGCCTATGATAAAAGGATCTCCTGACCGATAAATTATCCATGGACTGGGAGAATTATAATTATCTTACAGGAAGCTACAGCTTTGGGTTTCCTGAGTGTGGTGACTCTCATAACTGGGCACATTTCTTGCAGGCATCCTGGAAAGTGTACGTTTCCAGAGATGCTGGCTCCTGTGGATTATGAGGTATTTTAACCCAGGACAGCTCCTGCCCTTACATGGTCACCTCATCTGCTTGTACCTAAGCTGAACTGCTACAGGGACTGCTGTAGCAACTCTCTCAGAAGAGGACGTTGCCCTGTGGTGCTCAGGACACAGGTACCGAGTATGACCTATGAAAGTCTCGTGAGTTGAAAATCTTAGTAGAGCCTAAAAAGACCCTGTGGTGGAAACTGTAGTTGCTAATGAGAAGTATGATACCAGTCTAATTTTCCTTCCTGTACAGATGACCTGACCTGTTTTCTTTAGTCTCACAATGATGTATCTGGGTTGGAGTTTTTTTTGTCCTGCTTGGCATTTGGAGAATCCTTTCAATCTATAAAGATTCATGTCTTGCTTCATTTCTTATATAATTTCTTCTTACCTCTTTTTAAATCTTCTATTACTTAGATATGGCATTTACTGAATTATTCTTTGTCACTTTTATCTCATTCTCTGTTTTAGACTTTTTACTCTATTTTTGGGGAGACCACTTCGACTTTATATCATAGCCTTTAAACTGAATCTTTAATTTCAGCAATCATAACCTTAATATCTTAAAAAAATATATTTTGGTTCTGTGATCCTTTTCTACAGCAATCTGTCTATCATGAATGCAGTTTCTTCACAAATCTCTGAAAATATGAAGGCTTTCTGTTTGTTTTTAATTTTTCATCAATTCTTGCATATTTGGTTTTCCTCTGAGATGGATTATTCAATTTCTATATTGTGGTCTTTCTCTCTCATGCTCCTAGTTTTCAGTTTGGCAATCCTTAATTGTCTATATAAGTATAAAAAAGCAATATTGGATTGATAATACCAGACATGTAGTGTGGGGTTTCTCCACTGCATATACATAGGTTTTCATTTTCCTGGAGCTCATTTCAACATATGAATTCTAAACTATTTAAGTAGAGTTGATATACTCTTATGTGCTCGTATAATACCTCCATAATGGAACATAAGCTATGACTAACAAAGAAATAAGAGCGGCAAAAGAGACTTCAAATTATAAACAAACTATCAGAACTTACCTTACACTAATAGTAAACATTTCCAGGATATCTTTTCCTAGTAACCAGCCAACCAACATGATGATACCTGTAACAGAATCAAACAGCTATTTTTCCCTTTTATATAAAATCACCTGGGCATAGAAGGGATAGAACAGAAAGTTGAGGGCAGCAAAAGTCCCTTGATATAAAAGGGAAAGTTTATCAGATCACAATTATAAAATTTTACAAGAATCCATTAAGCAGGTGAGATTAAATTAAGCTTAAGGTTAAAACTGTGTATGCATGCACACACCTACAGTTTTACCTTTTGTTGCCACTGCTGCCACCCATCCCTTAAAGTAATAATATCTGAGAGTTCCCAATATAAGAGGGGGAAAAAAAGAAGGCAGCATATACATATAGGTTTTCTCTTAACTATGAGGTTCGCAAAAATAAACCCTGGAACTTTACTTCTCATAACTCAATATCCAGACACTGCACATTAAGTTTGTACTACAAACCAAGGAGTACTTAGGACTTGGCTCAACGAATGATATAAGACATTATAAGACAGTCAAAACTGCAATTAACATTTAAAAATTACGACCTTTACAGTGTTTAAAAGTTAAAAACGAATTAACATAAACCAAACAGCTGATTCTTTACTCTCTTCTTTAATCTTTATCTTTGAAAAGAAGGGGGGGCGCAAGGGATGTACCACTGGTTTTGTGAGGAAAAACACTGTATCAGAGTTTTAATAAAATAACTTCGAGACTGTATTCTAGATCAATATGGATATTGAAAACAAGGTTTTCTTCATCTTTCTGCAACTACAAAATAATGATCCAGATCCCATCCCAAATACTATCCTGATAAAAGAAATCTGTCCAGTGAATTATACCAGAGTCCAGCAAACTATACAGTCTATGGCCCTCTTACGTGTTTTTGTAAATAGTTTGTTGGAACACAGCCACACCCATTGTTTGTAAATTGTCTGTGGTTGCTTTTGTGCTGATGGCAAAGTTGAGTATTTCCAACACAGAACGTACGAACCAAAGGCTGAAACATTTACTATCTGGTGCTTTACCAAAAAGTCTGCTGACCCTTGATTTTGATCTTGATCCTTCTCCTATTCCATATACTATCCTAACAAGAAAAATTATGTCCAATGCATTTAAAACCAGGTAACCATAAAGTTGAAAAATTTTTATCACTAAATTTGACGTGGTTTAATGATACAATGTTAATATAAACTGGAAAGATTTAATTGGTTAAATTGCCCTTCAATTTACCAAATTCACTACAAATTCTAAAAAATAAACAGCAATAACCAAATGAAGGGAGCTATGAGAACATACACACCATTTAAACAAAAAGAATGAAATACCTTCCCAGCTTCTACTTTATGTTTATGATAATGAGAAATGGATCAAGAGGATTAATATTTAAGAAGTTATTTCACTGAAACTGTACAGCAGAAATGTTGTCTTAAAATTGCATTGTTATCTTAAAAGCTAGCAAGAAAAATTAAAATAACATATGGAAGAATTAAACAGAGAAGGACTCTCTCACAGAGTTCATCCATGCATCTTTCCGCATGTGCTCTGCTTTTCCAAAAAACATTTTACTTTTCTCTTTAAAAGAAAGAAAGAAACAGAGAAAAGACTCCAAAATTGATGTGTTTAATGTTATGATAAAGATGTTGTGTCAACTCAGTGAATTAAGAATGGACTATGGAATTGATGGTACTAGGATAATTAACTTTTGAGTAACAAAGTAATAACTCTACCTTAAGTCTTATACTAAAATAAATTCTAAATAAAATAGAAAAATTAAGTGTCAAAAGTAAAAACTAAAGTAGTATAGTGATGTTTAAATAACTATAAACAAAAAAACATTCTCCCATATGGGGTTGGGGGAGCCTTTATGAATAGAACACAGACAGAAACTTAACTGCACTAATCATCAACAGGAGGGTGATAAGAATCTCAGGCAAGAGATTGTTTCATTACACACATCTCTCCCCTCCCTACCAAGTTTATTATACAGCCCTCAAAAGCAATTTAAAAATCAGGAGAAAAAAATACTTGTAACTTAAACAACAAAAGGATTAATATCCTAATTACAAAGAGCTGTGACCAATCTAAGACTTATACCACAAAAGAAGAGGGACAAAAGAAATAAACCAGCAGGTCATAAAATAAAAAGGACTAACATACATATGACAAAGTGTTCTGTTTCTTGAATAATGAATTTTGAAATAAAATAATGAGAAGACTTTTCTTCACCTATTAAGTTAGTGACAAAAAAGCTGGCAAGGGTGCTGGAAGAGAGACTTTTATCTTGTTGATGGAGGATATTATTTGGCAATATGAAACAAAAGCCTTTAAAAACATGCCAAAAATTTTTAAATCACACAGATACTCTTTGACCCAATAATTTCACTTTCAGGAATTTATCCTAAGGAAATGAGAGGTGTTTATAATAAGATACCTGCACTGAAGAATCACTTACACAATTTTTTAAAACTTTAAAAACCTACACAAATGTCTAAAAGAGCACTGGCTTTTTATATATGTATACACACACATATTCACACAATGGAATACTATACAACCTTTAAATTTGTTTTAGAAGAGTAGTCATAACACAATACTATCATATTTTATTGAAGACTAGAAAGACAAATACTAAAATGTTTATAGAAATGCTCTTTGATTACAGGAATTACAGAGTTCTATTTTATCTTTGTAGCAAAGGACAACAGCTGGGGATTAGTTTTATAGTTTAAAAAAAAGTAATAGTAGCTGAATAAATGAATGAATGAATGGAATTTTTCTATGTATGGATCTAACTCCCCCTTCCCACTCAAAAAATAAACCTAAGTAAATATAGGAGATATACATACTCACTGTTCTCTTACCTATTATACCAAAGGAGTAAAAGGAAAGTTGTTTTCCTAAGAGGTCCATGCTCTTCTGCAGAGGGGTTTTTGGTGCCTTGACAAATTGGAGAAGAGTGTCACCACAATTACCCAATTACCTAAATTTAGTGAGCTTTACTAGGTGCCAGGGACTCTAAGTGTTTGACACACACACATGCTCGTGCTTAACACACCCATGACATACCCAACTCTCCCTTGAGGTAAGTTTTAGCTCCTTCACTGAGAAAACTGTGAGGCCTAGACTGTTAAAAACCCATTTATTTGAAAAGGTCCGTGCTCTCTATGCCTCTTTGAGGAAAAATCTATTCTCCCTAGCAGTTTCCCCAGGACTTCATTATCATCAGCTGCCCCTCATTTTTCTACTCTTTCTCCTTACAAAGATGCTTGTAACCCAAGTCTTTTTACCCTGTTGGCTCCCTGATCTCTGGCGATCCCTTCACTCCCAAGCTTGGGACGGTTTTACACACTGCATCACATATGGGAGTCTTAGCAGGCTACCTGAGAAATCCAGATAATTTGAGAAGAAAATGATATTTGTAGAATGCAACTTATTTTTTAAATATAAGAAGATATTTTAAATGAGAGAACTAATCTTCAATATCCTTCAACAAGGGTATCTTCCAAGTTATTTCACTTTGCAATCTTTTTTTCTCCAGATACTTGGAATTATGTAAAGTTGGGAATTTTGGTAGAAGACATGTTCTAAAGTACAAATATACTATTTAGTAATCTTTAAATTTAATATGATAAAGCTAATTTCTAAAAATAATAAGCCTTATAAATAACTGGCTAAACCTTCTTCTCCTATGAACAATGAATAAACATCAGAATATTTCAAATATTAAAGTGTTAATTCAAACCCTTCCAATTACAGGCTTTCCACTTATGATTTTAAGCACAGACAACTGAGTAATATTCTGAATAAAATATTACTTCTAAAATTAACAAAATAATCCTCCAATATTCTCTTTTCCTCTACTTACAATGGAAAATATTTCGGATTTGAAACTCAAACATCATTAACAAACTAAGTTTGTTACTTACTTCCTCTGCCTGCATCATTTTAAAAACCTCTCCAAATTCAGAATTTTCTCCTGTTCCAATGACAATACCCTAAAGGGAAAAACAAGAAAACATATTTACATTCAGATGGAATCAACCTCTCTCAACCAAAGAACAAAACCCCTTCATTCCCTTTCTCCAAAGCCACCCACAGTCAAGATGTCTGACATACGTATCCAAGGTTCCCTCAGCAAATTTACTTTTGATGTTACTACAGATCCTTGAAAACAAACATCTCATTAAACTTATTACTGACTCAATTCTGTGGCCCATTTTTTTGTCTATGTTAATATTTCTGAAATTTGAACCTTTCTTATACTCAGTAGAGACATTTAATGTAGTTTCCCTCTCAAATGCTACTGAATGATGCCTTACATTTGTGTAATATTAAAATCCAGGAAATAAAATATTTGAAATCAATCAGTAGGAGAGTGATATGTAGTCTGAATATTATAGCCAGTATCATATCAACTAAATTGAAATTTTATTTAACCAATGGTGAACATATCCACAAGCCAAAAAAAAAGAAAAGAACAGGTACTGAGGGCTATGCTTTTACAGGATCCACTACCTGGTAAATGGCAGAACTATGGATGTATTATAACTCAGGGACACGGCTTCTCCTTAGCCTCACAAATATCTGCCAAGGATCAGGTTCAATTCTGCCATTTCTTCGCCATATATTTTTAAAAGCTCCACATAAAACTAGCCAAAAAAGAACTGAGGAAATGGTTGAAAACAAAGGAACTGCTATCTTGAAAACGAGAAAGAAAATTTACCTTTGCTTTGCCACATCTGACCAGTGTTCCCATGAAGGCAATGTTACTTCTTGATGCAAGATCTCCATTAGTGGCAGCCGGCTGAGGAGCTGTCACCTTAGAACAAGGTGTTGTCTCTCCTGTCAAGCTGGACTCATCAATGGAAAGATCCACAGCCTTGGGGAACATAAAGCACTCCAGTAAGTTCAAGTTTGAAGACTCTCTCTGCTAAACTTAACATCTAAGGAGTCTGTAACCATCACTGCTTCCACAAATATCCTCCCTTCTATAAATTAACCGAATCTTTTATCACATCCATTACTTTAAGACAGTAGACTGGAATAGGTACAACCATATTTAAAAACAAAGCTAGGGGGGGCTTCCCTGGTGGCGCAGTGGTTGAGAGTCCGCTTGCCGATGCAGGGGACATGGGTTCGTGCCCCGGTCCGGGAAGATCCCACATGCCGCAGAGCAGCTAGGCCCATGAGCCATGGCCACTGAGCCTGCTGCTCCGCAACGGGAGAGGCCACAGCAGTGAGAGGCTCGCGTACCGCAAAAAAAAAAAAAAAAAAAAGAAAGAAAAAGAAGCTAGGGACTTCCCTGGTGGCGCAGTGGTTAAGAATCTGTCTGACAATGCAAGGGACATGGGTTCAAGCCCTGGTCCGGGAAGATCTCATATGCCACGGAGCAACTAGGCCAGTGTGCCACAACTACTGAGGCTGTGCTCTAGAGCCCGTGAGCCACAACTACTGAAGCCCATGCGCCTAGAGCCTGTGCTCCGCAACAAGAGAAGCCACCTCAATGAGAAGCCTGTGCACCACAAGAAGAGTAACCCCTCCCCCTCGCAGCAACTAGAGAAGGCCCACACACAGCAACGAAGACCCGATGCAGCCAAAAAAAAAAAGAAGCTAAATCAACAAAATCTACTACAAAGTAGACAGAACCATGAGACAAAATTAGCCTAAACTTCCAAATACAACTAGGGAAAAGGAGACACTAGCTGAGACAATCTTTATTTAGAGAAAACTCGACTCTCATGAGTTTTCTAAAATTATTTCCTAACTTTGCCATATCCTGAAGTCCTGAAAATGGGTTTGACAGATTTAAACCAACTATAACAGAAGAGAAATACGACTGAAAGATATAAAAGGTACTGAGAAATAAATAATTTCATCATTTTGGGTTTAATTTTCATGAAATTGTTCTTGCTATACATCCCTATATTTATTCTAAATTTATGTCAGCAAGAATCAAAAATGTATATAAATGTTTCCATGCAGATCATGAATATCATATCACCATCCAACTCTGCAATGGGTTCAATACTGAAGGCTGCACTCCTAACACAATTAAGAATTCACCTACCCAAGCATGAAAAAAAAAAAATCATCATTTTATATGTGGAAAATACTGCAGATGTGACCTGGCTCTGTTTCTAAGTATGGCCCACAGAACAACAGTTCCAAGGATGTTAATAGGCATTGTGTATAGTGTTATAGATGGATGATCATTGATAAACCGACACACACATATATACACATACATACAAGGGAGGAGTACTCTGGTCAAGGAAGTTTTAGAAACACTGTGTTAAGAATTAAACAGCTCCCCCTACCATAGTGCTTCTCAAAACTTACAATGCACCAGCGTGAGGCACCTCAACAGGATTACAGATACAGCAGGGGTTGTGGAAGTGTGGTCTTAGCAGAATCAGCATCACCTCTAACACCTCAGAGCTTGTTAAGAAATTCACTGCCCTACCGCAAACAAGGAGGTGGGGAGAGTGAACCTAACAGACTGCAATTTACAAGCCCTCCAAGTAATTCTGATGTTGCACTCAGGTTTCAGAATCAACAGAAGAGTGTTTTCCAAACATCTTTGATCCATTTTATTCCAGAAGCTCTAGTTCAAGGATCATTAGGAGGCTCTTTGGGAAACTAGAAACTAGTTCATGATTTTACTCATTTTATAGGTTCATTCACTCACCTAAGCAACATTTACTGACTACCTTAACTATGTACCAGGCACTGGGTTAGATCCTAGAAAGAAAACAAGATAAGAAAATGAACCCAGAGCAGTTTAATGTGCAGTTTCACTGCTATTATAAACTGAGCTGGTGTTCTGATTTGGGCCTCCTGATTGACAATTCCTACTATGTACCAAGTACTCTAAATTTAAATCCTGTTTTTTCTTTTTTGTGGGGTGGGGAAGGGGAATAAATCTCATCTATTTAAATGGTTATTTTGTTATGACCATAAATACCTTAAAAAATCTCACAGAAAATAATTATTAAAAATTGAGTTCATGAATTCTTTCTCCCCATCTACATAATAAAACTTTTGATTTGATCAATGTCATTGATTCATTCATTAAAAAGTATTTATTAATACTTATAATATGCCAGGTTCTGTACTATATCATACAGAGTGAGAATCAGCAGTAAACAAAGTTTACTGCTGCCCTCAACTTTCATTCTAATGGGAAATTGATTTGAAAAAATAAACAAGAGTGGATAATATAATGCTTGATAGTGAGGGAAAAAACATGGTAAGAATGGAGAGTGACATTTAGATAGAAAGAGAACATCTCTCAAAAGCAGATGACCCTTTTGCAGAGCCCTGACTGGTGTGAGGGCCCCACGGTTGGGCCATAATCAGGGAGGAAGGATTCTAGGCAAAAGGAGCACAAAGTACAAAGCCTGTAGGGGCAGGAACATGCTAGGTGCGTTCCTGTGCTAGGCAGGCATATGACACTGCAAATATAATCAAGTTTATAACATTAGATCATAAAGTTTAAGAATGTTCAGGATAAAAATAAATTATATCATACAACTCCAGAGAGACCAAACTGTGTTAGCATTTCCTGAAAGTTTAATACCATGTAAATGTGATAGATTTTAGTATCAAAATAGGCTTATAAAAAGTATTCCTTAAAACACAGATCTGACAGTCTTTAGAAGTCTTTAGAAGGCTTCCCATTTTATATAATTATGTATGCAAAGATAAGCCAGGTAAATTTGCATTCATTACTTCACCACAACTACAGATTCAAAAAAAGAACACCTGCCATGTTCAAAAGCAATGAATTTTTTTTATTAAAAGAACACAGTTATTTGACTCTTCTTCCCAAATTAATCTTAGGTCTATATAATTTTTCACACTAACACATTTATTACCAAGTAAGAAAAAAGTTAGATCTTTCTTCAAAGATGATGCTAATACTAAAAGCAGTCAGTTGACACTTCCTTGCTCACTATCTGCTAGGCACCATGCTACACACCTATACTAAGTTATCTACTAACAGCTACTTAGCTACTAGCAACTCCAATGAGGCAAGCACTAGTAGTATTATCCCTATTTTACAGACATACTGAAGGATTAAGTGCCTCACCCAACATCACACAGCTTATAAACTATGGAGACGAAACCCAAACGTTAACAAATTAACTCCTATTCTTCTAAATTACAAAAGTCAACAAATAGTTTATTTTGTTTAGCAAGTTCCTCTTTAATGCTTGTTACAAAAATCAGAACTGCTTGTAATTTTCTAAGCTCTTAGTAAGAAAAACCTGCTAATATTTAAAAACAAATACTTGTATACAAGCTATAGAACTCCTTTCTCTGTGAGAAAGTTGAAATTTATGTTTTCCCACTGAAGAATTTTTACTTCAAATGTAAATCTTAAACAAGGATAAATACTAACATTAGGTGGTTGTCAAGGAATACAAATATAATCTGACTTTTTAAAAAGAGGGGGGAAGCATGGCTTTTATTGACTCTGTCAGGGACCCAGCTCTTCACTGTCAGCCTCAGCAGGGCAACAACCATTTAAGAGTAAGAATTTTTGTTCAAATCAGGTTTTTCTACAGAAAACAGGCATGTAATTTTTTGTACAATAACAATCAGCCCTGTGTTAGTATACAAACTAATGTGGAAGGAAAGGGAGCTTTGTTTGGGTCCTTATCTTTTTTTCCTATATAATTATAAATCTGTTAAAATTAACAACACATTATTAATGAAATTTGTCTAAATCATACATTGTAGCATAGCTCTCAACTGTCCCTTGAACAAGACTATTTTCTAAGTGACAAGTTAGTTTCTCCTAATGGTGACTGCAAGTTTTCGCAGGAAGCAGTTTTGAGAGAGTAAGGGGAAGGAAGTCATTTCTAGGAAGGGTGGTACCTTAATAAAGTAGGCAAGCCTAATTATTACACTTTAACAAGTCACAATTTAATTCACCTGAGAAGAAAGACATTAGAGTCATTTATCCATTGCATTCATGAGAGAAAGGTTAGGATAAAATTAAGTCAAAGAATCAGCCAGCTCCATGCCTTCCATCCAAGTTTAAACATAAAACCTTCAGAAAAGCTGTTAATAAGGAAACTGATTATGTTTCTCTTCATTCTTCCTCAGGCACAATGGTGGAGGTGTAAATAATACACAACACAGTTCAAAAAGCAGAATGTAAATAAGAATCAAGATGCATACATAATCCCACAATCTGAATATTTAACACCTACAGAATTTAAATGGTTGAAAATAACTCACAGGATTATTCCTATAAAACATTAGGCAGAAATAAGGTAAATGCCAAAGTCACAAAGGTTTCCTGGAAAGCAAAAAGTGACTGCTTAAAAAAATTACAGTTAATATGGTACAATTGGTAACTACAAATAAGTTCATAAACTAAAGAACATCTTAGTATCCTGTATGCTGCTAGGTTAATCACCTCTAGTCCAGAATTAAAAGCAAATCAGAAATGGATTTCTTTCCCCAGAAATGAATCTTCCAAAATATTCATCTGCAACTGCCTGATCATGATAAAATTTCTTACTTATGCTCTCAAAAATTAAGATTCCTCTTACTGTTTATTCAAATGAAGGAAAATATAATTAAAAATTCTTCATGAGCTCTAGCTTATTAATCAAAGGCCAACTGACCAAGTGTTACATGAAATCAATTTTATCCCATGGTAAATGCTTGCAAACTTGACTTAAGAGTATGGATTCAGGGACTTCCCTGGTGGTGCAGGGGTTAAGAATCCGCCTGCCAATGCAGGGGACACAGATTCGACCCCTGGTCCAAGAAGATCCCACATGCCGCGGAGCAACTAAGCCCATGTGCCACAACTACTGAGCCTGCACTCTAGAGCTGCCCCCAAGCCACAACTACTGAGCC